CCTGTTAATGTAGGAGGTCAGCCAGTTAATGTAGTAGGTCAGCCTGTTAATGTAGGAGGTCAGCCTGTTAATGTAGGTCAGGCTATTAATGTAGGAGGTCAACCAGTTAATGTAGGAGGTCAGCCTGTTAATGTAGGAGGTCAGCCTGTTAATGTGGGAGGTCAGCCTGTTAATGTAGGAGGTCAGCCTGTTAATGAAGGAGGTCAGCCAGTTAATGTTGGAGGTCAGCCAGTTAATGTAGGAGATCAGCCTGTTAATGTTGGAGGTCAGCCTGTTATAATGCAGAAGGTCAGGCTATTAATGTAGGAGGTCAGCCTGTTAATGTAGGTCAGGCTATTAATGTTGGAGGTCAGCCAGTTAATGTTGGAGGTCAGCCTGTTAATGTAGGAGGTCAGCCTGTTAATGTAGGAGGTCAGCCTGTTAATGTAGGAGGTCAGCCTGTAAATGTATGAAATCAGCCTGTTAATGTAGGAGGTCAGCCTGTTAATGTAGGAGGTCAGCCTGTTAATGTAGGAGGTCAGCCTGTTAATGTAGGAGGTCAGCCTGTTAATGTAGGAGGTCAGCCTGTTAATGTAGGAGGTCAGCCTGTTAATGTAGGAGGTCAGCCTGTTAATGTAGGAGGTCAGCCTGTTAATGTAGGAGGTCAGCCTGTTAATGTAGGAGGTCAGCCTGTTAATGTAGGAGGTCAGCCTGTTAATGTAGGAGGTCAGCCTGTTAATGTAGGAGGTCAGCCTGTTAATGTAGGAGGTCAGCCTGTTAATGTAGGAGGTCAGCCTGTTAATGTAGGAGGTCAGCCTGTTAATGTAGGAGGTCAGCCTGTTAATGTAGGAGGTCAGCCTGTTAATGTAGGAGGTCAGCCTGTTAATGTAGGAGGTCAGCCTGTTAATGTAGGAGGTCAGCCTGTTAATGTAGGAGGTCAGCCTGTTAATGTAGGAGGTCAGCCTGTTAATGTAGGAGGTCAGCCTGTTAATGTAGGAGGTCAGCCTGTTAATGTAGGAGGTCAGCCTGTTAATGTAGGAGGTCAGCCTGTTAATGTAGGAGGTCAGCCTGTTAATGTAGGAGGTCAGCCTGTTAATGTAGGAGGTCAGCCTGTTAATGTAGGAGGTCAGCCTGTTAATGTAGGAGGTCAGCCTGTTAATGTAGGAGGTCAGCCTGTTAATGTAGGAGGTCAGCCTGTTAATGTAGGAGGTCAGCCTGTTAATGTAGGAGGTCAGCCTGTTAATGTAGGAGGTCAGCCTGTTAATGTAGGAGGTCAGCCTGTTAATGTAGGAGGTCAGCCTGTTAATGTAGGAGGTCAGCCTGTTAATGTAGGAGGTCAGCCTGTTAATGTAGGAGGTCAGCCTGTTAATGTAGGAGGTCAGCCTGTTAATGTAGGAGGTCAGCCTGTTAATGTAGGAGGTCAGCCTGTTAATGTAGGAGGTCAGCCTGTTAATGTAGGAGGTCAGCCTGTTAATGTAGGAGGTCAGCCTGTTAATGTAGGAGGTCAGCCTGTTAATGTAGGAGGTCAGCCTGTTAATGTAGGAGGTCAGCCTGTTAATGTAGGAGGTCAGCCTGTTAATGTAGGAGGTCAGCCTGTTAATGTAGGAGGTCAGCCTGTTAATGTAGGAGGTCAGCCAGTTAATGTAGGAGGTAAGCCTGTTAATGTAGGAGGTCAGCCTGTTAATGTAGGAGGTCAGCCTGTTAATGTAGGAGGTCAGCCTGTTTTAATGCAGAAGGTCAGGCTATTAATGTAGGAGGTCAGCCTGTTAATGTAGGAGGTCAGGCTATTAATGTAGGAGGTCAACCAGTTAATGTAGGAGGTCAGCCTGTTAATGTAGGAGGTCAGCCTGTTAATGTAGGAGGTCAGCCTGTTAATGTAGGAGGTCAGGCTATTAATGTAGGACGTCAACCAGTTTAATGAAGAAGGTCAGCCTGTTAATGTAGGAAGTCTGCCTGTTAATGTAGGAGGTCAGCCTGTTAATGTTGGAGGTCAGCCTGTTAATGCAGAAGGTCAGGCTATTAATGTTGGAGGTCAAGCAGTTATTGTTGGAGGTCAGCCTGTTAATGTAGGAGGTCAGCCTGTTAATGTAGGAGGTCAGCCTGTTAATGTTGGAGGTCAGCCTGTTAATGCAGAAGACCAGGCTATTAATGTTTGAGGTCAGCCTGTTAATGTTGGAGGTCAGCCTGTTAATGCAGAAGGTCAGGCTATTAATGTAGGAAGTCAAGCAGTTAATGTTGGAGGTCAGCCTGTTAATGTAGGAGGTCAGCTAGTTAATGTAGGAGGTCAGCCGGTTTTAATGTAGGAGGTCAGCCTGTTAATGTAGGAGGTCAGCCAGTTAATGTTGGAGGTCAGCCTGTTAATGTAGGAGGTCAGCCTGTTAATGTAGGAGGTGAGCCTGTTAATGTAGGAGGTCAGCCAGTTAATGTAGGAGGTAAGCCTGTTAATGTAGGAGGTCAGCCTGTTAATGTAGGAGGTCAGCCTGTTAATGTAGGAGGTCAGCCTGTTTTAATGCAGAAGGTCAGGCTATTAATGTAGGAGGTCAGCCTGTTAATGTAGGAGGTCAGGCTATTAATGTAGGAGGTCAACCAGTTAATGTAGGAGGTCAGCCTGTTAATGTGGGAGGTAAGCCTGTTAATGTAGGAGGTCAGCCTGTTTTAATGCAGGAGGTCAGGCTATTAATGTAGGAGGTCAGCCTGTTAATGTAGGAGGTCAGGCTATTAATGTAGGAGGTCAACCAGTTAATGTAGGAGGTAAGCCTGTTAATGTAGGAGGTCAGCCTGTTAATGTAGGAGGTCAGCCTGTTAATGTAGGAGGTCAGGCTATTAATGTAGGACGTCAACCAGTTAAATGAACAAGGTCAGCCTGTTAATGTAGGAAGTCTGCCTGTTAATGTAGGAGGTCAGCCTGTTAATGTTGGAGGTCAGCCTGTTAATGCAGAAGGTCAGGCTATTAATGTTGGAGGTCAAGCAGTTAATGTTGGAGGTCAGCCTGTTAATGTAGGAGGTCAGCCTGTTAATGTAGGAGGTAAGCCTGTTAATATAGGAGGTCAGCCTGTTAATATAGGAGGTCAGCCAGTTAATGTAGGAGGTCAGCCAGTTAATGTAGGAGGTCAGCACGTTAATGTAGGAGGTCAGCCAGGTAATGTAGGAGGTCAGCCTGTTAATGTAGGAGGTCAGCCAGTTAATGTAGGAGGTCAGCCTGTTAATGTAGGAGGTCAGCCAGTTAATGTAGGAGGTCAGCCAGTTAATGTAGGAGGTCAGCCTGCTAATGTAGGAGGTAAGCCAGTTAATGTAGGAGGTCAGCCTGTTAATGTAGGAGGTTAGCCAGTTAATGTAGGAGGTCAGCCTGTTAATGTAGGAGGTCAGCCAGGTAATGTAGGAGGTCAGCCTGTTAATGTTGGAGGTCAGGCTGTTAATGCAGAAGGTCAGGCTGTTAATGTAGGAGGTCAAGCAGTTAATGTTGGAGGTCAGCCTGTTAATGAAGGAGGTCAGCCAGTTAATGTTGGAGGTCAGCCAGTTAATGTAGGAGGTCAGCCTGTTAATGTAGGAGGTCAGCCTGTAAATGTATGAAATCAGCCTGTTAATGTAGGAGGTCAGCCTGTTAATGTAGGAGGTCAGCCTGTTAATGTAGAAGGTAGGCCAGTTAATGTAGGAGGTCAGCCTGTTAATGTAGGAGGTCAGCCAGTTAATGTAGGAGGTCAGCCTGTTAATGTAGGAGGTTAGCCTGTTAATGTAGGAGGTCAGCCAGTTAATGTAGGAGGTCAGCCTGTTAATGTAGGAGGTCATCCTGTTAATGTAGGAGGTCAGCCTGTTATAATGCAGAAGGTCAGGCTATTAATGTAGGAGGTCAGCCTGTTAATGTAGGTCAGGCTATTAATGTAGGAGGTCAACCAGTTAATGTAGGAGGTCAGCCTGTTAATGTAGGAGGTCAGCCTGTTAATGTGGGAGGTCAGACTGTTAATGTAGGAGGTCAGGCTATTAATGTAGGAGGTCAAGCAGTTAATGTTGGAGGTCAGCCAGTTAATGTAGGAGATCAGCCTGTTAATGTTGGAGGTCAGCCTGTTAATGTAGGAGGTTAGCCTGTTAATGTAGGAGGTCAGCCAGTTAATGTAGGAGGTCAGCCTGTTAATGTAGGAGGTCATCCTGTTAATGTAGGAGGTCAGCCTGTTATAATGCAGAAGGTCAGGCTATTAATGTAGGAGGTCAGCCTGTTAATGTAGGAGGTCAGCCAGTTAATGTTGGAGGTCAGCCTGTTAATGTAGGAGGTCAGCCTGTTAATGTAGGAGGTGAGCCTGTAAATGTTGGAGGTCAGCCTGTTAATGTAGGAGGTCAGCCAGTTAATGTTGGAGGTCAGCCAGTTAATGTAGGAGGTCAGCCGGTTTTAATGTAGGAGGTCAGCCTGTTAATGTAGGAGGTCAGCCTGTTTATGTTGGAGGTCAGCCTGTTAATGTTGGAGGTCAGCCTTTTAATGTTGGAGGTCAGCCTGTTAATGTTGGAGGTCAGCCTGTTAATGTAGGAAGTCAGCCTGTTAATTTTGGAGGTCAGCCTCTTAATGTTGGAGGTCAGCCTTTTAATGTTGGAGGTCAGCCTGTTAATGTAGGAGGTCAGCCTGTTAACGACGGTAGGGGAGGATGTTCTGATTTATAACTGGAACTGCATTACTCGTGACTTTAAGTTCCCGCTTAAAACAACACAATTTGCTATGAAACATGAACTGAAGAAACCATGCTAAATATTACCACAAAGTTAGAATGAAGTTCTATCGACCTTGCTAACACATTAAACCAAAGTAAGAATTAAGCTCTGTAAACAATACTAACACAATATGTGTCATTCAAAGTAAGATGGAAGCTCTTGCGGCCTTGCTATAACACATTACCTCGAAGCAAGAATGAAGCTCCGGCGGCCTTGCTATAGCACATTACCTCGAAGCAAGAATGAAGCTCTGGCGACCATGCCAGCACAATGGTCTCGTCCCACCACAAGGGCGGTTTGAGAAAGTGGCGAGAACTTCCCACAATCCTGTCGTCATCCACGTGGTATTCTATCTCGATCTCATCTGTCCACAAGCTGAATGTCACCTTGGCGATGTCATTGTTGGCTGGCACATCCGGGTTCCTTGTAAACTTTTCGATGATGTACTGGTACAATAGATTTGAATAAATCTTTATATTCTGCAAGTGGTGTAAACATGTCAGCGAATAGATTTCAACCTACATCTGACCCCAATTGTCGTCGCTCTTTTAAATAATTGAATTCACTCGTTTTTGTTATAAAAAGGTGTGTTTATTTGTTTAATAAGGCTTTTCTTTTTCCCTTCAGAATATTGCTAAGGTTTCCACTTCATTACATTTGATTTAATTTAAACGCTAAGATTGCATCCGGGCACTTCAGTCAGTTGACCGTTTATCTACTCCTTTCAGTACATACTTTTTGTTTTATTAAATTTGCTTCCTCATCCTCCTCCTCATCCTAAAGTCCCTTAGTCCTTGGACCGTTGGGGCGCCACAGATGACATGTGAACCATCCTCCTCCATTTCTCTCTGTCTTCAGCACTACGCACTGCATCGCCCAGTGTTAGTCCTGTCCACTCTTTGATGTTATCCTCCCACCTTTTTCTTTGTCTTCCTATTCTTCTCCCTCCTCTTGTGGTGCCCTGCAATATTTCTTTGGCAAGCCCATTTCCTTGTTACGTGGCCGTACCATTGTAATTTGCGTTTTTTCACAGTCACCAGTAGGTCATCGTACTCCCCAATTGCCCGATGAACCCTTTCTTTCACTGTATCATTGGAGATATTGTCCCTATAGCAGATGCCAAAAATGCTTCTGAAGCATCTCATGTCCATCGCCTTTATGTTCCTTTCAAGATCGGCTGTTAATGTCCAGGATTCGCAAGCATACAGGAAAATGGAGAGGACTAATGATCAGCCTGATTTTGGTGCTGGGGGCTATATTTTTTTCATTCCATATTTTCTTGAGCTTTTTTAGTGCTGTTGTAGTCTGCGCAATCCTGGACATCAGTTCGGGCTTGGAGCCTTCTTCTGAGACTATTGCTCCTAGGTATTTGAAACAGCCGACAGTCTCTAGTCTTTCCTTCCCGACCTTCATTTCAGTGCCTGCAGTATTATTTGTCATCAGTTTTGTCTTTTCGGCACTGATTAGCATGCCGTAAGACGACGAGGTCTTACCGAGACGCTTTAACACGTCGGCTAGCTCTTCTTCGGTCCCAGCCAGCACGTCTATGTCGTCCGCAAAGCGTAGGTTGGTGATTGTTCTGCCACCAATGCTGACTGTCCCTTCATGCGCTTCCAGGGCATCTGACATAATTCTCTCTAGGAAGATGTTGAATAGGGTGCTTGCTCGCATCTAAAAGACTCTCTAATATAGGGGGACCAAATCATGAACTGGGAAAAACGGGACACATCGGGACACACCCAAGGAGGGCGCTTTTTTTTTTTTGGGGGGGGGGGGATATCCTCCAGCTAAAAGGGGTCCGGGGGCCTCCGCTTGAAACTGTTTATTGAAAAAACGGGACACATCGGGACACACCCAAGGAGGGCGCTTTTTTTTTTTTGGGGGGGGGGTGATATCCTCCAGCTAAAAGGGGTCCGGGGGCCTCCGCTTGAAACTGTTTATTGAAATATGCTCATTTGAACTCTTTTGAGACCTAGAAATCTTTTTCAAAATACCTTCACTTTTGTAATTTAATTTAAACTCTGAGACATATCATAAACGAAAAAAAAAATATTTAGCAGTGAATACTTATTTTTTTATACATATTTTACAAAATAAAAAGATCGATGGCAGTGACACTGTCGTTTACGCAGCGTCGGCAGAGTGGTGGAGGGGGAACAGTGCAGCCATCATGTGAGCCCACCTCACTACTGGCACTGGCTACACAGCTAGCCAAAATATAACCTGAAGTTATAAATTAGGAAGTTTTAGTGATTTGAAAATGTGTTTGGTTCAAAAAAAAAAAAAACGGGACATTTTGTCCCGTTTTTACTGGACGTTTGGTCACCATACTCTAATATCATTGTACTTTTTTTCCTCCCAAAATCTGTTCTGCTCCTATATCGGTATGATGATTAATTGTGTTGTTACGTTATAGACAACTCTATTGTGTCCTGTTATTATTTCCTTAATGTCTTGTCCATTTCCCCATATTCCACTCCCATTAACTGGTGACTATGTGTCTTTTTCTTCTCCCCACCCTCTCTCTCTCCCTCTCTCTCTCTCTCTCTCTCTCTCTCTCCCATTGTCCCTCAGATAGCCCATTCCTTATTTTAAAAGTACTTCAATTACCTCAATAGGCCTGGGATCCGGTAGAAGTATTTTAGGACTCTCCAGAACTTTCCCCTCAGGTCCAAACTTGACCTCCTTGTAAATCTTACGGTCAGACCTGTTCTTGTAGTAATTCCAAAGGGTCATCTCATCCTCCTCACGCTTGTACAGCTCGTCTGTCCTCTTCCCCGCCTCAAAAATCATGATGCGTTTGCTCTCTGGCCCGGGGGAACATGCAAAGTAGTGGTGCTCTTGGGGAAAGACGGAAGATGAGCGAGAGTTTTGCTATAGGCGTCTCGTTTACTTTCTTTCATCTTTTCTGGTGAATGAACTTAAGCTGACCCCAAGTTTGGCTTATCAAAAATAGTCTCCCTCAACCTCGATTACAACTAACTAATATCTCTGGTCTGTATTGTTGTTAGAATTATGTATAATTCTGTAGAAATATCGAGAAAGGAATAAATACGTAGTCCATTCCAGAAGTATCTATAAAACAGGCTATATAAACGCATAGAGAGATTGGAAAGAGGATCAGACGAGAGATATTTTGAGCGTTTGCTATTTTAGCTTTGCTACGAGACAGAGATTTGTTTCATGTGCGTGTGTAGATTCCTTTTCATCTTTGTACTCTTTACAACATTGTATCTTCTTCAACATTGTACCGGTACAAGCCAATCATTTTTCTGTAAGTCAATAGCTTTAAATGTATTGTCCTTTTGATTTTGTCATTTATAATTAACATAATAAAATTTATTAATTGTGAGTGGCCCTGGTTTGAGTATCGTATTCCTTGTTATTGTATTTAACATATGGTATCGTCTTTTGTTGTGTACTTTTTTTTTTAAACGAGCCATATACTTAAGAGATTAATTTCTTCATACTGATAAAAGTACGAACCAGTGCTTACACAAGTACACAAAACTTAATGGTATTAACGGCATTAGAAAAATTGCAAGATACACTTTTCCCTTGCAATGGTTCAAGAATGATACGTGGTAATATTTTTTTAAGAGTAAAGAAAGCCTAAACTTCTGTAAGAAACATTGAAACACCCCCCCCCCCAACCAATTTAAATATTTAATGTAAGCATTAGGGAAAGATGACACATAGATCAACCGAAAGACGACTACCGAGAGAAAGGATCAGGGCAATGCGAGGTAATGGAAAGGGGGCATTCGCGTCGGGTGCCAACTTCAAAGGGGCGTCAAAATCGTCTTTAGTTTGGACCTTAATAGCAAATTAAACGATACAGTTCCATGTACTTCACAAAGGCGAGGTGCTACAAAGTCGGATGGCGATTCCGGGCTTCACTCTACGCAGATGTGCCCCCTACCCCGCCCCCCCCCCCAACTTTTTCCCCAACACGGTTCTGGAAGGACACACCTCTGAGGAAATCATCACGCCCATTGTCAAATTTTTCCACCACTTTGCCCGTCTCGTGGTGCAGAAAGCGACTGTGCAAGTGGTCGGAGCGGTCAGAATAGTAACGCAGAGTGTAGTTAAGGTCCTCACCTGTGGAGAGACCAAACGTAAAGACGTGGTCTAAATGGTGTTGGGTCTTTTTCAGTTGATGGAAAGCTTTGGTGATAACTATTATGCTAGGTCATGGAGAAGATGTGGGGAGACATGATTGATGTCGTTGTGAATGCTAGTTCAGATGACACACGTGACATCATGGCCAAATCAGCTGATGTGATATTAATATCGTTTATGCACGTGGAGTTGACTTAAATGGAAGTCATGTTAGTGGAGGTGATTGCAACTGTAAGGACATAATGTGAGTTAATAATTGCTTGATGCATAATGGTATGATGTAAAGTAGATGAAGTTATCCCATTGGATGTGTGTGAGTTTTCGTGACGCTGTTGATGTGTTGCTCATAAACTTATTTTAACCATCACTCAGCATCCATAAGATAATGAAGTCATTTAAACCACATCCCAGTGTCCAAAATTAGTGAAGTCATTTAAACCACATCTCAGTGTCCGCAAATTAATGAAGTCATTTAAACCACATCTCAGTGTCCAAAATTAGTGAAGTCATTTAAACCACATCTCAGTGTCCGCAAATTAATGAAGTCATTTAAACCACATCCCAGTGTCCAAAATTTGTGAAGTCATTTAAACCACATCTCAGTGTCCGCAAATTAATGAAGTCATTTAAACCACATCTCAGTGTCCGCAAATTAATGAAGTCATTTAAACAACATCTCAGTGTCCGCAAATTAATGAAGTCATTTAAACCACATCCCAGTGTCCAAATTAGTGAAGTCATTTAAACCACATCCCAGTGTCCAAAATTAGTGAAGTCATTTAAACCACATCTCAGTGTCCGCAAATTAATGAAGTCATTTAAACCACATCTCAGTGTCCGCAAATTAATGGTCATTTAAACCACATCTCAGTGTCCGCAAATTAATGAAGTCATTTAAACCACATCTCAGTGTCCGCAAATTAATGAAGTCATTTAAACCACATCCCAGTGTCCAAAATTAGTGAAGTCATTTAAACCACATCTCAGTGTCCAAAATTAGTGAAGTCATTTAAACCACATCTCAGTGTCCAAAATTAGTGAAGTCATTTAAACCACATCCCAGTGTCCAAAATTAGTGAAGTCATTTAAACCACATCTCAGTGTCCGCAAATTAATGAAGTCATTTAAACCACATCTCACTGTCCACTGATTAATGAAGTCATTTAACCAAATCTTAATGTCACAAATTAATGAATTCATTTTAAACAAATCTCATTGTCGACAAATTTTAACCAAATCTCATTATCGACAAATTTTAACCAAATCTCATTTTCCACAAATTAAGGAAGGCATTTAACCAAAATCCAAGTGTCCACAATTTAATGTAATGATATTAATCAAAATCTAGGTGTCCACAATTTAATGAATCCATTTTAACTAATCTCAGTGTCCACAAATTAATGGAGTATAAAATCTCAGTGTCCACAAACTAATGAAGTAACTTACAGAGCAGATCCTTGTAGACATAAATCTTCCTGACCATTCCATCAGGGTTTAAGTAACGACAGAAATCTTCTACAACGACATATTTGTAACGTCTTACCCTTTTCCCAGTCGGGTACTTCCGGTCAAAGTCTGGGGAAAATGTTAGGACAATTCTCTTAGTCAATTCTTTAAGCTAGCGTAAGTAAATATTAAGTTAGGTTTTTAAAATTATAAGTGGAATGGTTCTTATATAAATAATAATAATAATGATAAAGATTATTTGAAAATCACGCTTCATCCCCAAAGGCTCGAAGCACGGTAAATACCACATTGACGTACAAAATGCAACATTACAAAAGCTACATACGAGAAAACCCATTCTAAGTCTTTCATACCTTGCAACCATAAACAACACAGGCCAATATACATCTACAAGATAATAGCTAGATAGACAACATCGCCCCACCAGATGTTTGCAAAATAGATAAGTGTTCAAATCAGTTTTGAAAGACTCCAGTGTCTGGTCGTTCTGAGAGCGATAGGAAGGGTGTTACAAATTGTTGGGGCAGCAAATGCGAAAGTGCGCCCATCATAAGTCTCAAGGCGAACACGTGGTATCGAGAGTTTTCCACTATCAGATGAGCGGAGTTGTCTAGTGGGTACATAAAGCATCAGTAGCGCTTTGAGATAAGACGGACCCAGGTCATGCAAGCAGCGGTAGCACAGAGTTGCAATTGTGTACTCTATACGAGCGCGAACCGGCAGCCAATGCAACTCTCTCAGAAATGTTTTAGCATGGTCGAATTTCCGGTTTCGAAGAACAATGCGAGCCGTATTATTCTGTGCTTTTTTAATTTTATCCAGGAGCGTAGCTGGAAGACCCACCATAAGAGCATTACATTAGTCCCTGCGTGATAGCACGAATGCAGACATCAGCCTCTTTGATGCATCTCACGTTAAGAAAGGTCTGATATGACTAATTTTGCGCAGCTCTAGAAAAATAAAAAGGGGGGGGGGGAGGGGGGCATTCATCCCATGTCCATGTACTTTGAGAAAATTGTAATCCTGAAATCTCAGTGTCAGCGAAAAGTTCCAAGTATCAGCAACAATATTTGAAGATTTTTCTTCAGGCATCCCTCAGGGGGGTGGGGGGGGTGAGACCCACCTCCCCCCCCCCTTATGAGCCGTCTTCATCTAGGTTACTAATCTGTTTATCCTCTTTTTCACCTTTGTCATTTGGACTCCTCTCGATGTGTCCGTCCGGCGCAATATCCATTTTTTAAAATATCCGCGACTATGGCTGGGCTTGCGTTCACCTGATAAATCATTTAATTGGTGCGTAATTCTACCTACACCATCGCTTTCCATGAGCCCCCAGTCGCGTACATTGACGTTATGCCATCCGGGGCGAAATCCCAAAAGAGTGTGCCTCCCTAAAACACACAAAACTCATTCATTATATCATGTTACATGCGACATGGGTGCTCCATGGTGGTCACCCCCTTCGTGCCCCCTAGTTACGGCAATGCAGGTCTGTATCAATGTTCCCTTTAGGCTGCGTGGCTGCGAGGCCGAGCAGCTAACTCTCAGACGCCGCGCAGCAGTTTTGAGTATCCGCGCAGCAAATTTCCATGTAGGTGTGTGTTTTTGTTTGTGGGCTGTAAAATTTTGCACACACAAAAATTTATGTTGTAAAACTTTGCACACAGCTGTAGGATTTTGCACACGAACCAGCAAACCTTAGAGCAGCGGTTCTCAACCTGTGGGTCGCGACCCCTCCCTTTCCCGGGGGTCGCCTAGGACCATCTGTAAATATGTATACTCTACAGTTATAAAGTATCAACTGAAAATAATTGTGTGGCTGGGGGTCGCGACAACATGAACAACTGTATTAAAAGGGTCGCGGCATTAAAAAGATTGAGAACCACTGCGTTAGAGGGAACTTTCGTCCGATATATTTCTCAGGAATTTTTCTTTTATGTTTCCTTTTTTTCAGTTGCGTGGCTCGGGTATTTGTTTCAATAAACAATTTTAAATTATGTATGCCATGATATATTCATTATTTGAAATTTCAAACAAAACGTATATATTAATTGTTAAAATAGTTCACTTCTCGCTGAATTATAGCAGTAGTTCTTAATAAATTATTCAAGCAGGGATTTTTTTTTTTTAAATTGTTTTAAAAACGAAAATCTGACATTCGTGACGTACTCACCGTCTCGAGTAATTTTCAGGGGAATGCACCAGGAAACTGGTACGTCAAAGAACGTCTCGTCCGTATACTGGTCTCCCTTTAAAAAAACAAAAAACAAATAAGGAATCTTCATTAATTTAAGCTACCAAAACGTGAGTTATACTTTGAGAGGTCCTATAGGATATTAAAAGGGAGTTAACGATGCTGCAGATCAGTGTTTTGGAGGTCCTATAGGATACTGAGAGGGTGCTAAAGATGCACCAGACCAATGTTTGGGATGTCCTATGCAATACTTAAAGGGAGCTAAAGGTGCAGCAGACCAGTGTTTCGGATGTCCTATAGGATACTGTTTGGAAGCTAAAGATGCAGCAGACCAGTGTTTGGGATGTCCTATATGTTACTGAGAGGGTGCTAAAGATGCACCAGACCAATGTTTGGGATGTCCAATAGGTTACTGAGAGGGTGCTAAAGATGCACCAGACCAATGTTTGGGATGTCCAATAGGTTACTGAGAGGGTGCTAAAGATGCACCTGACCAATGTTTGGGATGTCCAATAGGTTACTGAGAGGGTGCTAAAGATGCACCAGACCAATGTTTGGGATGTCCAATAGGTTACTGAGAGGGTGCTAAAGATGCACCCGGCCAATGTTTGGGATGTCCAATAGGTTACTGAGAGGGTGCTAAAGATGTACCAGACCAATGTTTGGGATGTCCAATAGGTTACTGAGAGGGTGCTAAAGATGTACCAGACCAATGTTTGGGATGTCCAATACGTTACTGAGAGGGTGCTAAAGATGCACCCGACCAATGTTTGGGATGTCCAATAGTAGGTTACTGAGAGGGTGCTAAAGATGTACCAGACCAATGTTTGGGATGTCCAATAGGTTACTGAGAGGGTGCTAAAGATGCACCCGGCCAATGTTTGGGATGTCCAATAGGTTACTGAGAGGGTGCTAAAGATGTACCAGACCAATGTTTGGGATGTCCAATAGGTTACTGAGAGGGTGCTAAAGATGTACCAGACCAATGTTTGGGATGTCCAATACGTTACTGAGAGGGTGCTAAAGATGTACCAGACCAATGTTTGGGATGTCCAATAGGTTGCTGAGAGGGTGCTAAAGATGTACCAGACCAATGTTTGGGATGTCCTATAGGATACTGAGAGGCTGCTATGGATGCAGCAGACCAAAGTTTGGGAGTTCCTATAGGATACTGCTTGGGAGCTTAAGATGCAGCAGACCAATGTTTGGGATGTTCTATAGGATACTGCTTGGGAGCTTAAGATGCAGCAGACCAAAGTTTGGGAGTTCCTATAGGATACTGCTTGGGAGCTTAAGATGCAGCAGACCAATGTTTGGGATGTTCTATAGGTTACTGAGAGGGTGCTAAGGATGCAGCAGACCAAAGTTTGGGAGTTCCTATAGGATACTGCTTGGGAACTTAAGATGCAGCAGACCAATGTTTGGGATGTTCTATAGGTTACTGAGAGGGTGCTAAGGATGCAGCAGACCAAAGTTTGGGAGTTCCTATAGGATACTGCTTGGGAACTTAAGATGCAGCAGACCAATGTTTGGGATGTTCTATAGGTTACTGAGAGGGTGCTAAGGATGCAGCAGACCAAAGTTTGGGAGTTCCTATAGGATACTGCTTGGGAACTTAAGATGCAGCAGACCAGTTTTTGGGATGTCTTATCGGATACTGAGAGGCTGCTATGGATGCAGCAGACCAAAGTTTGGGAGTTCCTATAGGATACTGCTTGGGAACTTAAGATGCAGCAGACCAGTTTTTGGGATGTCTTATCGGATACTGAGAGGCTGCTATGGATGCAGCAGACCAAAGTTTGGGAGTTCCTATAGAATACTGTTTGGGAACTTAAGATGCAGAAGACCAATGTTTTGGATGTCCTATAGAATACTGTTTGGGAACTTAAGATGCAGAAGACCAATGTTTTGGAGGTCCTATAGAATACTGTTTGGGAACTTAAGATGCAGAAGACCAATGTTTTGGATGTCCTATAGGATACTGTTTGGGAACTTAAGATGCAGAAGACCAATGTTTTGGATGTCCTATAGGATACCGAGAGGGTGCTAAGGATGCAGCAGACCAGTGTGTAGAATTGAATGAAATCCTCCAAGGTAAGCTATGACTTGAGTTCATACCCCAAAATAGAATCCTACTTCTGTCACAATATGCTAACAGTTACCGTTAATTTTTCTTCGTCATGTCCCGATAAGCTATATTAATTTAATATAATTCCTCCTGGTTATGTCCCCATATTCTCTATTTGTTGATAATTCCTGAAGGCTTTGTCACGATATTCTATTCTTATAGATAATTCCAATAGGTAATGCCACGGTAGAATTATATATATATATATATATATATATATATATATATATAAATTGCTAATTCCTTCCTTATTTATGTCCCCATATTCTCTATTTGTTGATAATTCCTGAAGGCTTTGTCACTATATTCTATTCTTATAGATAATTCCAATAGGTAATGCCACGGTAGAATTATATATATATATATATATATATATATATATATATAAATTGCTAATTCCTTCCTGTAATGCCACAGTGGACTACCTGCAGTGCAACTTGAGTCCAACGCTCCGCTCTCTCTTCTATCGTGAGCCTGACGTGAAGGTCCTGGCCAGGGAACAAATATTCCCAGTGACGACTGTCTCCAATGTCGTAGCTGAGATCCTAAAGTTGTGCAAGAGAAAACAAAACAAAAATCATAAGACGATGAAATCCCACCCCCCCCTCCCCCCACACAAAGAGAGCAAATAAAATAAAAAGAGCAAAGATCAAATATATAAAAACATTTATGGTGGACTTGTTGAACTGGTGTTTGGGAGACTTGAGGTCATCCTAATTAAAGCCGGGGAGACTTTAGGTCATCCTAATTAATGCTGGGGAGACTTGAGGTCATCCTAATTAACGCTGGGAAGACTTTAGGTCATCCTAATTAATGCTGGGGAGACTTGAGGTCATCCTAATTAACGCTGGGAAGACTTTAGGCCATCTTAATTACACCATCTCTGGAAAATTTTGGTGGATATAAGTTTAGTAATATAAATTCTTTATTACAACTATTTTCTTCGAGTTTAATTTTATCAGGCACGGTATTTTTTTATAATGACTGTTGGGTCGTTGAAGTAAGAAAAAAAGAGACTATTGTGTGTTTTAGTACCTTATGACACAATGAGGGACACTACTATAAATGGTCCCAGAATCTAATACAACGCGTGGTTTATTTTATAATAAAAATAAGCCGTTTGCTTCCTCAATTTGTTTTACTATTGCCGGGAGCCGGACTACTTTTTCATGTGCCAATCTGTGGGTCCCAGGTGCTAATTATTTCTTTAGGAAATGGTAGGGAGAAAAGATCGCTTTTTTTTTTTTTTGGGGGGGGGGGGGGTTTACTTGACAGAATACACTCACAGCGACTCCTTCGTCGAAATCCATGTTGACGTAGTAGTTGAGGTGGTTCCAAATGGATTCGATGTGCAGGTACTGGTCCCAGTCCGTGGGGTGGGTCAGGCCGGTGGTGGGCTCAATGAAAAACGTCTTGTCAACGTCACGATGACCCTTCAGAACTAAGACCCAGGAGTGGACTCGCCGACCTTCGAGTGGGTCCGGTGGAGGCGCCTCTTGTAACTGATGACAGATATAAACTATGATCACAGAAGAAGAGATCATTTATGGAATGGCCCATCTAGGCCAGAAGAATGAACAATTACAAAAGAAAAGTATCGTTAGAATTTTAATGATTAACTTTTCCTTACTCTATATCACATTCAGATCATTTGAAAGCTGTTAGGTACCAACGATGGTTAGGTACAATGACGGTTGGGTACTATGATGGTTAGGGACAATGATGGTTGGGTACTATGATGGTTAGGGACAATGGTGGTTGGATACCTTGATGGTTAGGGACAATGACGGTTGGGAATTGATGGTTAGGTACAATGACGGTTGGGTACTATGATGGATAGGGTCAATGACGGTTGGGTACTATGATGGTTAGGTACAATGACGGTTGGGTACTATGATGGTTAGGAACAATGACGGTTGGGTAGTATGATGGTTAGGGTCAATGATGGTTGGTACTATGATGGTTAGGGTCAATGATGATTGGGTACTATGATGGTTAGGGACAATGATGGTTGGGTTCTATGATGGTTAAGGTCAATGATGGTTGGTACTATGATGGTTAGTTACAATGGTGGTTGGGTACTATGATGGTTAAGGTCAATGATGGTTGGGTACTATGATGGTTAGGGACAATGATGGTTGGGTACTATGATGGTTAGGGACAATGATGGTTGGGTACCTTGATGGTAAGGGACAATGACGGTTGGGTCCTGCGATGGTTAGGGACAATAACAGTTGGGTAATGTGATGGTTAGGGACAATGACGGTTGAATACAATGACGTATATGTTGATGCTGCAGTGGTAAGACGAAATTTATACATTTCTTTCGCTAGCTTACTCCCACATCACCCTTAACAACACCATCCCCACCAAATGTAATCACCACATCTAACAACACCATCTCCACCAAACCTCATCACCACATCCAACAACACCATCTCCGACAAATGTAATCAGAACTTCTAATAACACCACCCCCGCCGCCAAACATCACCAAGTTCTAATCTCCACCACAGGGAAGCTATTCTCGCCACCTCACCTGTTTAGCTCGATTCGCTGCATCTTTCTTTGCCTGTTCCTCCGCTCGCCTGGCAGCCTCGGCTTTCGTGGCCATCCTCAACTCGTATTCACTTGAAAACGTTCGATTGGATCGTGACGAGTAGCGAGTGATTGTTTTGGTGATTGTTGCAGTGTAGACCTGGGCTCAATGGAGTGTGTTAGTGTACATTTAGAAGTAATGAACTCGTCTCACTAACTTTAAAAATCCGTCTTCACACGACTCAAGGGCTTTAAGGCAGGGGTCCTCATAATTTTTAAACTTAAAGCCGATTTGGTGACCCGAAGACTTTTTTGGGGTGGGATATGATTAGAAAAGATATTAATGAATTCACATGCAGCCCACTACACATACCTTATGTGTAGTGGGGAAATGGTAAAAAGAACAATAATAAAATATTTAAAATAAAAATCAATTTTAATCACCATCAAATTAATATTACTTCAACGAGAAGTAGAGACATTTTTCGGACTCCATTTTTGTCACTGCTACCTGGGGAATAGAACCACAGCATGGCTGGGAAGGATAATAGGAGACCTGATGGGCCGGATCCGGCCCGTGGGCCGAAATTTAAGGACCCTTTCGCTAAGGCAAAATGTGTGATGAGTTGGAAATGAAATTAGAGAAATTAAGAAATGGTTCTTAAGACGTTTGATGAATAATGTGTAAAGTGTTCCGCATTTTTAAAACAAAATAATCGGTATATTTTTAGCACTAAGGTGAACCGAAACAAATGACAGAGTCAGCCACAGTCACCTAGGGTCCCCAGGAGGCAATAGTGACGTCGAGCAAGGAGACAACGCGCTGCTCGTGTCATTATAGTTTTAAAATTTAAATTTTTAGACTCACAGGTTTACATCTCGACTTCAAATTTAGTTATCAAATTCTATATCCTAGCACGACTTATGCCCAAGTTAGTTGTTACTGGTCCATGCCCACGGTAGGTGCTACTGGTCCATGCCGACGTCGAGTCGGTGCCGCGCCCCGCCCCCCCCCCCCTTTGGGCCATGTAAAGTAATGTTGAAGTGAGCCTTACAACTTGGTCCTGCTCCACAAACGGGCAAATGTTGTACGACAGGTCACAGTTGCACACTTCTCGGGTAGCGTAGCCACTGACCACATACGCGTCATATCCGGCGCCAATCAGCATGCTACACAGCACCGTGCTGTACTCGAAGCAATGGCCGTGCAGTCTCTCCAGAATGGTCTGCGGTGCCAGTAACGTCTTCGGCTGGAACATAAACATTTGGCATACGTGTTAAGCAATCGCCCTGTGTATTGCATCTACACAAAAACAGCTATTTACAACTAATACGAAGAGCCTACACCAATAACATAAAAGCACAACTTGACAACGCGTTCACAGATTCATAAAGCGTATCATAAGAGTCCACATACAAAATCCGGATATATTTGTTCTTTTCCATATGACCCTCATGATCAGCCAATATGCCACAAAAACGTACAGAAGAGTCCCGGCACACTGACTCTTATAACCAAAGACATAAAATTGAACGCTATCATTGAGTGACTGACCAGTTCATAGGCCGGGCTGAGCCTATCGTAGCTGAGATATCCTGCCAGAAACTCGGCAATGCCTGGCCAGTCAAGTAAGTCCGCGTACGGAAGTTGCGTCGGCACGATGGTGGTGCAGACAACTTTCTGTGGGAGTGGCAGATGGGAGGTTACACGCCTTGTAACATTGGATCTTTTGGTAGCATACATATCATAGGTTTCACACCGTGTAACATTGGATTTTTGGTAGCATACATATCAGAGGTTTTACACCGTGTAACATTCGATCTTTTAGTAACGTACACGCAAATCGAAGGCTTCCCGTGCCCAGGCCGGGATTACCCATTACGATTCTTTGCTAGCAGAAAATAAAGAATATAACTGTATACAATTTTTTTTTTTTTAAAGTATAACTTAACCGAACTGCCAACTAAAAATATAAACATCATATTTTATCATAAGTTTACCCTCTATGTTTAATACTATTGGGTTAGATCTAATGTGGAGCACCATATCATTTCGGCGCTTCTCCTTCTCACCCAAACCAATCAACTGTGTTTGGACCGTATCAGATTTGTCTAGTGGGGGATGACACAAGATCAATTACTTTAACTTTTTTTTTTTCTAATACAACAAAACTTTCCGAAAGACCTTTTTCGAACTGTCTCCCGTGATCTTTCCAGCCATTCTATACAAATTCTTAACAGACATCTTTTTATTTTGCTGTTCATCGTCGTAGTTTCGTTAAAAAAATATTTTTTTTAATATGCCACTTTCTGTTGAAGCATCCGACATCATTAGGGTGACAATGATTGCCGTAGGAGTTTAATATACTACGCATGTCAAGATCTTTGTTTACATTCTTATTGTCATAGTCTCTAACCCTTGCCACCATCAACGTCCATGCTTAGATGAAACGTTTATAGTCTCTAACCCTTACCACGATCAACGTCCATGCTTAGATGAAACGTTTATAGTCTCTAACCCTTGCCACCATCAACGTCCATGCTTAGATGAAACGTTTATAGTCTCTAACCCTTGCCACGATCAACGTCCATGCTTAGATGAAACGTTTATAGTCTCTAACCCTTGCCACCATCAACGTCCATGCTTAGATGAAACGTTTATAGTCTCTAACCCTTGCCACCATCAACGTCCATGCTTAGATGAAACGTTTATAGTCTCTAACCCTTGCCACCATCAACGTTCGTGCTTAGATGAAATGTTTAAAGCCTGTAACCTTTTACTTAACTGTAAGGCCGCAAAGTTAATACCAAAAAATTACCACGATCAATAAACTCAATAATTTAAGTAACGAATATCTTATTTGAGAAATTGAAGCAATGATTTGTTGTTGTTTTTTAATCTTCATGCTACTTGCTTGAACCCATTCCATTCCTTATGGTGCCCGTGATGTTAAGAACTTATTAATGTTATGTAGAACCGCCTTGGTTCCATAAATTCACCCTTAGCCCCCCCCCCCCCCCCCCCCCCCCCTTCAGGTTTTGTTTCCCCCTCCCCCCNTCACTTTCCACCAAAAAGATTTTGAAAAAGCATAAAGAATTTGTTAACTACTTTCCACATTGGAAAAATGAGGATAGGAAATTTCTTTCTTTAGCAAAACTCTTGAGTTGAATCAGAGCAGACCCCCCCCTCCCACCCCCAGCCCCCCCCCCCCTTTTTTTAAAAAAGATTCTGGGATTTTCCATCAAATTTTCATTATTAAAAATCGTATCTTTTGTATTTTAAGGCGTTGTAGGTCTTCATCGTTGTAAACAAACCTTTCTCTTTTTCGGACACGCTTAGAATAACTCGCCAGGAAACCCATGTTACACTTGAAATACAGTTTCTTTCAATGCGATAATAGAGAAGCTAGAAAAACAAATTGCAACAGTCCCTTGCCACTGGAATAATCATCTATTTGAGTTAAGCAAACATCTCCAAACACAACACATACGCCTTGTGTTTTTTTTTAGTTTGACTTTCAAAAGAAGCGTACGTGTTCTTAAAATAAAACTGTAAGGATCCATCGCACAACTAAGGTCACCTTGACACCGAACTCATTCAGAGGTTTCAGGAAGAGGGCGTGCCGAGTGGTACACAAGTGATTGTACTGTTTGAGAAAGTTCTTACAGTACTGGATGGCCTTCAACTCTTTCGGCTCGTTGTCCTTGTAAGAAGGAGGGAAATTGGCCGGGTCAAACGCCTCTAGTTTCGGAGACCTGTCCATGGACAAACAATTGTTCATATGTATGTTTCAATTGTAGATTGGCTATTCAAATAAATATGCTGGTGAGTTTCTTGTTTCCCACTTTAAATGAAAGGGAGACGGGTTTTAATATGCGCACTACATTAAGATGACATGTCAATTACTATTCAGTCAATGTAATGTTATCTTATAATAGTGTCATATTTAAGTGATAGTCACCACACATTGTGGTAAGGGGCAAAGCTAATAATACATGATGCACATTGTCGTGGGTGGATGTTTGATCCAGTGTGTTGACATCAGGACACACATCTCTTCGTTCATTGGTGCTTACACTTCCGCATGACCAAGATCGGGCAGATTGGACTTATCTGATTCTGGTAGACGGGACTTATCTGACTCTGGTAGACGGGACTTATCTGACTCTGGTAGACGGGACTTATCTGACTCTGGTAGACGGGACTTATCTGACTCTGGTAGACGGGACTCATCTAACTCGGGGGGGTGTCTCATCTAAGAGATACAGACTGCAAGCTTTTTGGCTACAAACCCCAGGGTTAACGTTCCTGGAGTAAACTCTCTCACATATCTCCGGAGACGGAGTCGACTATCTGGAGTTCCCTTGAGACCGCCGGCTGCTGTCTGGGAAACAACTGATGCTCCCTTCGTCTCTTGGTGATGGTTTTTGGGATAAAAAATCTCCTGAATAGTACACACGTTTGCTAAATCTATTTTGTGGCTCGTTCTTATTTTTCAGAAATATCATCACAATTATTTTTTGGTTGTAGAAATTATCTATTAAATGGCATACTGATTTGTTTTTCAATCAATAATCTGGACTGATAAATATGTCGATTTATTTCAAACGTCACCAACTCTTTAAAAGTTTAAATCTGAACAACGATTATTTAAAAAAAAAAAACTACTTAGATATAATGTGCTAAAAATGATTAGATTCAATGTAAAAAAAAAAAAAAATATCAACTTTTATTTTGATCAATTTAGTTAAAAAACATTAATTAAGTTATCTTTTCATTAAATGGCATACTTATTTGTTTTTCAATCAATAATCTGGACTGATAAATATGTCGATTTATTTCAAACGTCAACAACTCTTTAAAAGTTTAAATCTGAACAACGATTATTTAAAAAAAAAAAACTACTTAGATATAATGTGCTAAAAATGATTAGATTCAATGTAAAAAAAAAAAAGATATCGACTTCTATTTTGATCAATTTAGTTAAAGAACCTTAATTAAGTTCTCTTTTCTTATTTAAAAAAGATAAAAATAATAGGTTTCATTATTTGTATATCCTGTCAGAGATAGATCCAGTTGACTAGACACGAACCACTCACGGCATTTTCAGTTTGATTTGACTCAATCTTGACTTGAGTGACTGTATCCCGTCCTCGTAGTCCTCTTCCTCGCCCATCTGCTGACTGTCCAGCTCGTCATCTTCTCGATCCTGTGATAAATCTACAGCAAACAATAAGTTTCACGGAGGTCAAGCAATGCTGTCGTAATAAAAATATATGTACATAGCACCTAGTTTGAAAACCTCAATAAAATGACCAAAAGATATGAGTAAATTTAGTTATTCAAATATACACTTTAAGAAAAAATCAAAACCCCAAGGTGTATGTAGCACGCTAATCTCCTCACTTTTAACAATCAGACTTACCAGTACCAGACCTTTCGTGCTTGCTTGTAGCCGGACTCGGACTGGTTACTTTTGAAGGTCCGTTTGGGCTTGTTACCGATTTCGAAATTTGTTGAGGTGCATTTGTAGTACGCGAGGTTTGAGTGGACATGTTTGTTGAGTAAAGGTATTTAGTAACGCGCTGTGTTGTTGGTGCTGAACAGTGCTCACGGTAAACTGTTACGTTTGAACCACATAATTGAATATCCTATAGGTTTATCATTTAATTATGTGGTGGCTACATAAAAAGCATGGTTAAAAATGCCCGACTGAAGTTATTTCACAATCAGCCAATCACATTTACGAGAGAGTGGATTTATATTTGTATAAACTTGGAATACAGCAATACCTCGCTACTTCGCATTTCGCGTCTTCACTCCTTCGCGGGTACTGGTTCTGGTAATGTTTCGTTGCTGCATACATGAACTGGCATCTTTGCAACGGTTGGGGATATGATGTTGCTATTCTAACAGCCCCTAGCTGATGCCAGGGCAGCCTTGAAGCTTTCGACCGATGTCGAGTTCACAGTGGCACCGTTCAGGTGGTTCCATGCTATTATTGTGCGTGGGAAGAAAGATTGTTGATACTGCACTGTGTTGCACTGAGACACTTTGAAGCATTTGCTATTGTTTCTGGTGTAATTGTTAAGGGAATGTCAGTGGTGAAGTCAGTGTTCAGTGAGCGTTTTGCTCTGATCAGTCTACCCGGCTTCTGTGGGGTGATGTGCCTTCTGGGACGGCCGGCACCAGTCCCACGATCACTTTATATAAGAATATTAGGCGGAGTCCCTCTCATCTGTCTTTAAGGGGTGGGATGTCAAATCTTTTTAAGAGGCCAGTGACGAAGCCAGGAGTGGTGGATTTGTAGTCTCGAGCGATAAAACGCAGCGAGTTACGTTGAATTCGCTCCATCGTGTCCATGTCTTGTTTAAGGTGTGGGTCCCAGATGATCCCACCATATTCCACTAGTGGACGGACGAGTGCGAGATAGGCATTTCGTTTGCAGGAAGTTGGGCAGTGGCGCAGATTTCTTCGGATGAAACCTAGGGTGGATTTGGCTTTTTTTGAAATTTTGTTTATATGGGGTGCCCATTTTAGGTTATTTGAGAAGAGAATTCCAAGGTATGGATTATTGGATACTTATTGAAGGATTGTCTCGTTAGTGACTAAATATGAGTTGATGGTTTTTTTTCTTGAGAGTGTCACCGTGTAGCATTTGGTTTCATTGAATATCATGCCCCATTTGTCCGCCCAATTCATAAGGCCCTTCAAATCTGTTTGGAGGTGGTTGTGGTCATCGTTGCTGTTTATCTCTCTGTAGATAAGAAAGTCGTCAGCGAACAGCCGCACTTAAGAATTTACTATATCGGGTGGGTAGGTCGTTTATGTGACAGAGAAAGAGAAGGGGGCCCAGCACTGTGCCTTGTGGAACTCCTGAGTCTACGGTGGCTTTCCCTGATTGGACGCCGTCCACCACTACTTGCATGGTACGTTGTGTTAGGAATGTTGAGAGCCAGGAGTGAAGATTGCCTGTAATTCCGTAGTGTTGGAGCTTATGTAGAAGAAGGCTGTGTGGAACAGTGTCGAAAGCCTTGGAGAAGTCGAGAATTGCCATGTCAACCTGGGTGCCTTTGTCATAGAAGGCTAGGAGGTCATTGGTGGTGAGGGAGTTTGCCGGAGTCAAGCGACTTTTGGAAAATGTGGGTCATGGTTGGGGCACTGTTGACAGCCAGGGTCTTCAGGACAATGTTCGGGATACAGTCAGGTCCGGGCGCTTTATTGAGTTTCAGGTTTTGGAGAAGTTTTGCTGCTCATGTTTCAGTTATATGGAGTTTTCTTCTCCTAGGATAAGTTCTGAGCATTTTTTCGGTGTTTCGTTCAATTTTTGCCAAAAAGTATACATATTTTTTAATTCATTTATTGTTTTAATTATTATCGCGGTAAGACAAACATTTTCTACCATGAAAAATTGAAAATAATTTAAATATAACAATATAACTTAATATAAGTTTTTATAAAAGTTTGTGAAGGGTTTATTAAATAATCTATAAAATATATAAGTTCTACTTATTTTCGCATTTCGCGAAAAAAAAGTGTGTTTGTGTGTGTGTGGGGGGGGGGGGGGGTCGTAATATATAGGCTACCAGAGAAACTTAATTAGAATTTGTTTCACTTATTATTTGACGTTATATGTTTATCAAGTGAGTTGCAGTCAGGCTTATTAAAAGCAAGGGCCTCGATAAGTGGGTTTGAGAATCGGAGACGGAGAGAGAGCAGGGCTGGCGGCTCTAGGAAATGGCAAACGGGGTGACCGTCCACAGCCCCATGCTTGAGAGGACCCCGCGCGTAGCAATTATAATTTATAATAGTCTATTTTTAAAATGTGGTTCTGCGATGCCTGCTCGTAGTTCGTAATTTCAGTCAACACGATTTTAGGCGGTACAGCATAATCAAATGGACATCTGTCTGGGTTCCGTTCTTTCCTTTCAAGGCCATGCAATGGCGTCAATACTTCTGTTAGTGGCCGTTGCACATGTTCTTGGTCTCATCCATTTCTTAACCAAAAACAACCCCCCCCCCCCAAAAAAAAAAAAAAAAAAAAAAAAAAAAAAAAAAAAAAAAAAACTTAAAAGCACCAGCAATGACCACTGAAAAGACAAATGTATCAGAAAAGAACAGCAAACCAGTTTTTTTTTTTTAAAAAAAAAGAACGTCGTAATATGCGATGAAAGGGACAGTTTGAATATGGATCTAGAGACAAGAGACACCAAACACATGAAGAAAGGGACAGTTTGAATATGGATCTAGAGACAAGAGACACCAAACACATGAAGAAAGGGACAGTTTGAATTATGGATCTAGAGACAAGAGACACCAAACACATGAAGAAAGGGACAGTTTGAATATGGATCTAGCGACAAGAGACACCAAGCACATGAAGAAAGGGACAGTTTGAATATGGATCTAGCGACAAGAGACACCAAACACATGAAGAAAGGGACAGTTTGAATATGGATCTAGCGACAAGAGACACCAAACACATGAAGAAAGGGACAGTTTGAATATGGATCTAGCGACAAGAGACACCAAACACATGAAGAAAGGGACAGTTTGAATATGGATCTAGCGACAAGAGACACCAAACACATGAAGAAAGGGACAGTTTGAATATGGATCTAGCGACAAGAGACACCAAACACATGAAGAAAGGGACAGTTTGAATATGGATCTAGCGACAAGAGACACCAAACACATGAAGAAAGGGACAGTTTGAATATGGATCTAGCGACAAGAGACACCAAACACATGAAGAAAGGGACAGTTTGAATATGGATCTAGCGACAAGAGACACCAAGCACATGAAGAAAGGGACAGTTTGAATATGGATCTAGCGACAAGAGACACCAAACACATGAAGAAAGGGACAGTTTGAATATGGATCTAGCGACAAGAGACACCAAACACATGAAGAAAGGGACAGTTTGAATATGGATCTAGCGACAAGAGACACCAAGCACATGAAGAAAGGGACAGTTTGAATATGGATCTAGCGACAAGAGACACCAAACACATGAAGAAAGGGACAGTTTGAATATGGATCTAGCGACGAGACACCGAACACATAAATAACCTTTCAGGATGAAATATTTCTTGTTGTTTAGTAGACCAAACGTTGGAATACTTGAGGAAAAGTTTCCAGCAATTGTAAATATATGCTGCCAAATGTTGGCTTCTCAATGTGACATGGAGCAACTCCGAAACCATGACTCTGGATTATATGAGCACACACAATGTGTGGATATGGAACATGGCGCCGAGAAGTGGTGATTTACGTTCTGTACGTAATTCGAACTTTCTAGAGTGATATTATTTCAAAAGATGTACAAACAGCAGTACGGCGTCTTCAATTCCTTGTGCCACGATCGCGTTCAAAATAATGTTAACAGTGCTGGTAACCATACCCCATATAGTAGTGACGTCTTAAAAAAACCTCATATAGTAGTTACATTCAAACAACCCCATTATAGTATTGGCATATGAAACAACCCCATATAGTAGTGACGTCTTAAAAAAACCTCATATAGTAGTTACATTCAAACAACCCCATTATAGTATTGGCATATGAAACAACCCCATATAGTAGTGACGTCTTAAAAAAACCTCATATAGTAGTTACATTCAAACAACCCCATTATAGTATTGGCATATGAAACAACCCCATATAGTAGTGACGTCTTAAAAAAACCTCATATAGTAGTTACATTCAAACAACCCCATTATAGTATTGGCATATGAAACAACCCCATATAGTAGTGACGTCTTAAAAAAACCTCATATAGTAGTTACATTCAAACAACCCCATTATAGTATTGGCATATGAAACAACCCCATACAGTAGTGACATCTGAAACAACCCCACGTAGTAGTGTCATGTGACACAACCCCGTATAGAAGTGAAGTCTGAAAAAAACCTTATATAGTAGCTACATTAAAACAGCCCTATATAGTATTGGCGTCTGACACAACCCCATATATTAGTGACATCCGAAGCAACCCCATACAGTAGTGACATCTTTGTCACAGTTCTTTTGCTGCCCTCTCGGATACTACTTCTCAGCAAAGTGCTATTTAAAAAAAAAAATCTGTTTTTTTCTGTTTGTTCGCTGACGAAGACTTTCTGCCGACACTTTCGTTTTTTGTTGCTTCCTTTTTTCAGGGTTGACCATAGTTTGTTTAACTCATTTCATTTTTTGCTAACCTGATCGCATTCTCTCCTCTTATTATCATGTTGACATTCATGCTGTTTCATTTTCATCAGATATAGGTCTATTACATATTAATAAATGTCTGACGCCTTTTGTAAATATTTCCTTTTTTCTTTCTGATACCATTTATATACAGTTTTTTTAAATAACGTGTTTTATATAGTATATAGCCATGCAAAAATGTATAGACTTTCCTACGTGAAGTATGCTATTTTTTCCGTTTAATTCACTATTAGGGTCCATCTTAAGTCTTAAGACGATTAGGGGCCCCTTGATTTTGACACCAGGAGTGATTTACCCTCCCACCCCCACCTTCACACGGACCTGGGTACATAGAGGGATAGGGTGCTGCAGTGCAATTCTTTGTCCACGGCCCCCACTGCCGTAAAGACGACCCTGGATGTTCTCCGGGTAGCGTTAGGCTAGGGCCGGGTCGGTGGCAGCGCCTCTTATTAGTATTAGTCTTATTCTTCTCAAGACTACATGCCACTACAGACCTGATTGTTGACCATAGGTGCCCCCCCCCCCCCTTTCCCGGATGCAGGGCACTGATCTAAAAATCATCGATCATTTTTAAAAATAATTGGGACAAATCCTGGTACATCTTAATGATAATCGAGTATCTTTCTAGCTTAAAATATTATGTAACATGGCTCATGACAGGTTGATTTTAAACGTTGAAATCGTCTGTGCCAGGTACGAATGGGGTCGTTGCTTAGCGACGTACAGTTGCAGTTCCTCTAATGATTGTTATTAGAAAGGTAAACAAAGAGATCAGTTGTTGTTTTTTTAAAAAATTTTATAGCTTTGTGCCTTTATGATTATTTAATTTTATATCTATATGCATTAGTTAGATTTCAGTCACGTTATTTCTTATTAGTAGTGACTTTTTAAAATTAAAATATAGAGTATAGAGTAGTAACTAGTATAAGTATAAGTATTAAGTATGTATTAACTATTAACACAACACTACAACTACAACAGTACGTGAGTTAGTACCTCAGTCAGTATCAGTAACAGTTCAAAGTAGAATAGCCTTACACTTAAGTGGGCTTAACTTAAACTTACTCCGCAAACAATAATGTAATTTAAATTTAAGTTAATTTTCGGATAAATAAAGAAAAGTGCGAAATATTTGAAGTAATTAGCCCTATATGAATATGAGATGACGTATTGATTGCTTCCGATTCTCTTTAGTCTTAACTGAATTAATTTTATTTCTTAAATGAATTGTAAAAAAAAAAAAACAACACCAAAATTTACTAGAAGTTAAAAATTCAAGACTGGAGCTTGGGGTGGGGTGGGGTAAGCATCTTTACCCCTATCCAATACGGATAACGTTTTTGACGTTTAGTTTAACTTGAACTGAATAAAAAACTACGACACTACAGACTATGAAATGATTGATCAGTCATTGATAGTAACAATGATAGTGATAGTATAGACTACAAACTCCTTACTTAATGATTAAAAATTAGTTTTAGAACCAAATCAAAAACAAAAATGTCTTCAGCAGGTTTAAACGACTTGGACTTAAGTCTATTTTAAGTCTTAGCCCTAAGACTTAGACTCTTGAGTGTCTCAATCTCAAGCTAAAAGTACTAAAAGCGTAGTTTACTGGTATGGTAGTTAAAACTTTTAAAATTAAAAGGTATTGTTTAATTATCAACAATATTTACTGAACTATGCAGTAATTTTGATGCTACAAACATTTAATTTTGACTTTATACTTTGACTGATAACTATTTTAAATTTGAAAAATTGGCTAATTTGGAGAAATGTCGCCATGACGTCATTTGCAATTTGCATGTTTATTATAGTTGCAGTGAATTAGGATTCAGGTTAGGCGGTTAGGTTTAGGGATACATTTAGGGTTCGGATTAGGTTGAGGGATACATTAAGTTTTGGTTTAGTGACAGAATTAACTGGCCCTGTCAACCAAGAAGGTGGCCATGTAGCGATATCTCTCCAAATTTACCGAAAAATTTAATTTGGTTCACTTTTTAAAATGATTTTACCATCATTATAATAGTATTAATAGGGTACTATAATTTAAAATGATATTGATTGCCAATATAATATTAAATTGATATACATTACAAATTAAATTCGATTTTACCAGGAAGTCAATCCTATCAACATATAAATAAATATAAAGTAGTAGTAGACCTACTGCCACTAGTCTAACTAGCAGCTGTAGAAAGTTGAAGGAAGCTTTAGTTTTAGTAACCTTTTTTTGAAAGTGAGAATAGCTAAATATTTTGTTTGCTGAAATCCTTATGTAGTGTGGCATACTAGAAATATGTGGAATATTAAGGGGGAGACAAAATCTGTTAAGTTTTCCGTTACATTGTACTGTGTTCCTTTTTTCCTGAAAGTACTTGAAATAGCAAAGAACAATTTATTTAGTACGGTACAATTACTATTTTAAAAAGACACGTCTATGAGTTATTTCAACATAATCATTATCCGTTATTTTTGCTGCTTTAAGGATGCTAGAGTGTAACAAATGTGTATATGTACTGGTAATATATGTTTTTAACTTAATTCCTATGAATGTAAAATAATTTTTTTTTAAATTTGTAATTATTTTAAATTAACAATGCTCATATTAATATTAAGTTTTAGAGTTAAAAAATGTATTATACTGGGTATGTAGCAGATGATTACAGTTGTTCAGTATCCTGTGTCTTATTCACATTAAATTAATGTTTTCTTCATTAAAAAAATCAGATGAGAGACAACCTTAATAGTTAAGCAAGTTATAAAAGTTGCATTCTGAAAACAGAAAAAAAAATGTTTACTAGTAAACATGAAGCTCCACTTAATCTGGCCAGAGAGGAAGTGTTTCTTAGCGGCAAAGACAAATCCTTTTTATGGACAAGCCCTCCACACTATGTCCCATCATATCCTAATTGGGAAGAACTGCGAGCTGTGCGTTACAATCCTCGTTTGACAAGGAGAGATCAGAACATTGCAGGGGCAGAAGAAAATTGGACTGATTATCACAGACAAAAGCACACACCAAGTGGTCAGTTCTTTGTTCTTTATATTATTTTGTGTGTGTGTCAGTGTGTGTGTGCATATTTATAATTTAAAAAATTTAAGCATTGAAAGAAACATCAAGTCCTAATTTTAAGTAATTACTTTGCATAATTGAAAATAATTTACTTTTGTTGAAGGCAGTACCATCATACAGTTGAATAGACATGGTAGACTTAGACCTAGTTAATAAATTTTCAGTATTTAACCTGTTCATCTTATTTGTCAGGTTTCTACAGTAATCATATTGGTACCCAGCCTTCAGGTGTTCCAAGTTTAAGACTGAATGGATACACTAGGCATATTAATGGAATGCCCCCAAGGGACATATTTTTGAACAGTTGGCCCAAGGCAGATGGTTGGATGCCCCCAGCAAGAGCCCCTAGGGGAGAATACTATGGATACTATCATGAGGCATTGGAGTCAGAGCGATTCATGAGGAATCGCTTACAGTCTATGCATGATAGACTTTCTCCTTTTGATGTCCCAAGAATTACTTCACTTAACTGTAAGCAAGTTTTCCGGGATGTGGACTGTGATTTAGGTGGAGGCCTTTCCTAACTGGTTTCCAATCACTTACAATGCAGTAACATTTGATGCTTTTAAAATTTTTGTGAAATCTCATGCTTTTACCTATATAAGTATTATACTCATATACTCAAAACAGATACATTTTTCTGCAGTAAAATACAGTATACAGAGTCTGATACACTTTAATAAACCACCGGATACTCCATTTATCTAAAGCTTCTAGAACTTTTTGTATTCCCTTCTGCAGAAGTGACATTTTCTGTGATAAAAATATTAAATTAATCTAATTAATTTGTGATGTAATTTTATTCCATTTTCATTGGCTGGTTTTAGTCTCTAGGGAATAAGCTTCTGTAACTTTACAAAGAAACTGGAATAGATAAATAAATAACTATATTTTTTAATAATCTGTAACACTACTTTCCCTCTCGCATTATACTTTTAAAAAAGGATTGAAAGTTTCTGTAGAGAAAACATGGTTATATGTGAAAATAAATTGATTTTTCAAATTTCTTTTCAGAATTTGTGACTTTTATTATTGTTATTATCATTATAACATAAATATATATTTTCTACATCAAAACATGAATGTTTAAAATAATTAAATATCCTTCTAATTTCTATGTCATCTGTATAACTGCAATATAAAATTTTTTTTTAAAAATACTAAATCTGGAAATCAGTTTAAAATTTTTTCACTTTGGTAATTTATTTAACAAAACAAAATGCTTCAAATTAAACTATAACTCATAACATATAAACATGTGCGAATGTCACTAATGCAGTCTTACACTTACACAAAAATCAACAGTAATTTAAGTAACAAATCAATTTAGAAAGTAGTTGAACATTGATCATTGGTAGCGAACAGCTTTTAAATTGATTAATTTTTAACTATGACTCAATTTAAAATGCAATTTGTTTTCTCAAAGGGGATACACATTTCTGAATCCAAATAGCCACAGAGCAAGCACGGTAGACACTATCCAATGTTTTGTTTGATTTCTAAGTTAATTTTTATCCCTATACTAGCAAGTTCAGCAACCAAGTAACGAAAAACATAAGGAACAGTGACCATCTGAATGTTATCACGGCGCTGGCAGTGCTGACAAACAATCTGGTGGTGAAATTTTGTGCTATGTCCCCGGCCTAAGTCTTCGTCTGTGTGGTGGACCAACAAGGGAGATAATATTGTCTTACAAGTTCTACAGATGTATGCCTGGAAGCAAAAATATAAGTTTTAGAAAAAAGGTTACACTATGTTACACAATGTTAACCAGATTAAGCTAAAAAGAATTCAGTCTCTTTAAACATACTTCACCACAAATAAAACTTTTGTTTCATTCTTTTTTTATGAATAATGAATTATAAATTTGCTCCAGTCTCATATTTAATATAAAGGATTGTTACAAATACAAACCCAACTTTGTTCTAACAGGAAAAATAAATTTAAAAAAAAAAATTAAAAAAAAGGAAATAAAATGGTTACAAGAACATGCTATAAATTTATTAAGTTAGTTGAGCACTTACCTTTGATTTATCAGAGCAATTTAGAAGTCTGTCATTCAACAAGAAGCTTGTACCATGTGTAATGAGTGCGTCCCTCTCCATTTCACCAAATCGTATGCCACCAGCTCGTTTTCTGCCCTTGACTGGCTGCTGTGTGACTTGGTCTACTGGTCCTGTCGTCCTCACCTGTCGGTTCACACAAATAAAAATATATCAAAATAAGATCTATTAGCTGTTACTATTCTAAAGTAATAATTCAGTTAAAGAAATATGTAAAACTTTCAACCAAAATGAAGTGCATGTTAAAAATTATCCAAGGTAATCTCCAGATATGGGTCAATAGGTACAATGGAATTGTCCAACAGTAAGTCAGGATATCTTGGGGAGGAGCGAAACGAACAACAAAAAAAACCCCATCCTCAACCAGAATACAATACAGAATACTACTTGGCATCAGATTAACTCACGAACTGTGGCATGCATTATACTGTGGTGTGGAGCTTTTCTGGGCGTTTTGAGTGCCATTTGAAATTGCATTAAATGACATAGAAATATTGATCCAATACCCCAATAAGTATATATTTTTAGAAATGTAAATGGATGGGGATAAAGTTGGCCATATAGCCCATCCCATAAAAAAAATTTTGCTCAGTGTCCTTGACCATGGATTTCTCAAGAAAAAAAAAATCGACAAAATGTCTTGCTTTCAAGTGCTCATAACATCATTAATTTTTTTAGGGACACTTAACACAAAACTAAATGTTGTAGCCAATTCATTTATCTTTCAGAAAATGTATAGTTTGCTAAGGTTTTCATTGCAATTAAACACCGGAAAGCAATTTTAGTAATTTTAGGTCATTTATATAAGAAACTGGGGAACCACTGCTAAAACCAAGTACAAAATCTCAGGCAAAATAGTTATTATTGACTAGTAAACATTTAAAAAGGAATTGTGGAATTGATTTGGTTTGTTTAACTATAAAATGTATTAGTTCTGAACTATAATCTGTAGATTATGTGACTAAAATTCAGTCCGTCCTTGCCCAACCTCCTGTCCTGACTCGAAGTCTAACAGTAGCCTCAGTAGGCCTACTTCAGTATCACTGAGACTAGGATAAAATTCACGAAAAGAATAATCTCAACTGATATCGTCATGAGGAATGTTAAAATCAACATCAGTATCACTTAAAACCTCTCCTAAAAAGCTTTCAAAGATATTTCTATTCGTTCTTGCACTTTAGGCCCAGCCATAGCGTCATCCATTTTAGTTGTTAAAAAAACAGCGATATAAAACTCCAATTAAAAAGTATTTATTTTCCCGTTACCACGAAACAGCTTGAATCGGAAGATGATTTAATTATTAATAAAAGGAAGTGGCTATAATTCCGGTTAAATATTGGATTGGAAGTTGCTATCAGACTGTGTTTTTTATCGGTTGATTTTTTCGGCCGCCACAATACAGGATGAGAATGTCCAGTTCGTGGGTTAACAGTTATCTGTGATACTGAATATTGCTCTAGTCTTACCAGTCAAGGAACAGCAGCAGGAAGAAAGAAAAGTACCCTGGCAGTGTTCCTTACCTGAAATTTATCTGACACCATGTGCCTGAGTCGTTGGTAGTAAACAACACCAAAATAAATGTCAGCTTCCAATTCTTGGCCCAGGATTCCACTGTACATTCGTTCTGTGCCAAAATAGTTGTATCCACCTGCAGGTTAAACATTTTAACAATGAGGCTTTCAATAACTAAGATTTAAAAAAAAAGAACATTAGAAATTATTAAAATAACCATAAAATATTGTTTACAATCTCAGTAAAAACTAGGAATCAGCATCAAACATTGCCCTTTGGCTCTTGAATGTCTAATACAATTACACTCATCAAAATGATTTCCATCATTAATATTGCTCCCGTCTACAGCATAGAGGTTAGCGAATTATGAACAGAGTGGAAAAATCTTGTAAATCTTTCTTTTAAAAATTAATTTTTTTTTTTTTTTTAAACCTAGCTAAATTTGATGATTTATTTTTTTTTTTTTGAAGATTATCCTATATTTTTTTTTTTTTCTTTTTTTAAAATTTTAAATTACACTCATCAAAATGATTTCCATCATTAATATTGCTCCCGTCTACAGCATAGAGGTTAGCGAATTATGAACAGAGTGGAGAAATCTTGTAAATCTTTCTTTTAAAAATTAATTTTTTTTTTTTTTTTAAACCTAGCTAAATATGATGATTTATTTTATTTTGATTGAAGATTATCCTATATTTTTTTTTCTGACTTGATTCAAAATTTTGATGGTGTTCAAATTTATTGTAAGAGACACAATAAAATTAAGAAACATAATTTACTAGCTAAGGTTGTTATCAAAGTACCAGATAAGCAAAAAGTAAATCTATAGATTTGCTTTCAACTTGTTAAACATTATTTTGTAAAAAAAATATGTAAAAATGGATGTACAAATAAAAATTTGAAAATTTTCCAAAGCATATATATTTTTTTAATCAGGGTTTCTTGTCACCAAATCTTAAAGAGTGGGTTCCTTGTTTTTTTTTCCCCGTATTGCCACTGGTTACAACCATCATTACATGGGTTATATGGGACTGTTGTATAAAGAAATAGTTACCTGCTGTAAGCATTTCTCCAAAGTAGTCTATGGCTGGCTGGTCCTCAGAGAAGGTAAAGGGTGTGGCATCCAAATATAAACCATGAAGTGCCCCAGCTTTCCCTGCCATACTCTCAATCATCATTCCTTAAATCATATTGACATTTGAATATTTAAAAAAAGTCATGCATTAAGTTAAAAAGGAAATGGTATAATGTAGTTCAGATCATACAATTGTCAAATATAATTATTGATGAAGCCCAACCCCCTTTAAACACTATTTAAATAAGTATGTACCTCGGGTTTAATAAAAATTTCTTTCCTCATAACTATGTTTAAAATATAGTATTTCTCTATCATCTTAAATTGATCTTAAACTAAAAACCGTTTTTTAACTTGTGTGAGAAGAAAGAACTTTAGTGGACATTTACTAAGCACAAAATATGTTATACTACCATCTATCATTACTGACCTATTGTCATTCTAGAAGGAAAACCATGAGGGTTAAAGATGATATCTGGCACCATTCCAGATTCTGTGAAAGGCATGTCTGCTGCTGGCCACATCATACTGAAACAATGGAAATAAATGCTCTGCTGTGTTCTACTATAGATAAAAGTTCTAAAGAAAATTTTTGTTAAAAAAAAAGAGGGGAGGAAAATACAATTTAGTTGTAAAATATATTGTAAGGTTTCTTCAATTTTTTGCACTGTGGTGCCGTGGTAACATTGCCTGGGTCTTAACCAAGTGTCCCCAGCTTTGAGTAAATAGCTGCGTGGAATGGACTCGGCCCAGTAAGCAGTATATTGTAGAAAGGAGCTGATCCAAGAGTGAAAAAACACAGAAGCCAGAAGCTAATGTGGCGTGTGCATCACAATCATCTGTCCATGCCAATTAATTTGGAGTTAGTCTTAATTTAATTCTCAGCTGACATTAAATAATAAATTAACCTAAGTACCTGCAAATTCCTTTCTGGCCATGTCGACTAGAAAATTTATCTCCAATGGTTGGGTTTCTCTGAAAAATTTGAACAATATGTACAATTTTTTTTTAAAAATGTATGAATATAATTTTTCTTTTGTCTTTGCTAATTGGGTTTAGTTAGCCTCATAGCTTGAAGCACTTAAGCTAAATTCATAAAAAAAAAGACCTTTACATTGTTTTTAATAGAATTTCCTACTAATAGTAATATGTATTTAAAACAAATTAATTAGTCAAACTGCAGGTAAAAATCAAATCTAAACATTGCTAATAAATTGATAGCCCTCACTAAATGAAACCTGCACAGTAGGGACTTCTCAACTTACCATCACTCTGAGGACGAAGCAAACTTTGTTCATCTCTTCCATACCAAGTTCATCTCCCAAAATCTTGATCTGGATGACTGTCGCGTCCTCCATACCTTTGTAACACACAGTTTTGTATTCACCTGTTTGGAGATTTCTATAGCTGCAAGTAGAGCATTTCATGAAATACATGGCATTGTGGAATATAGGAATTGGGTAATAAGCATCCAGCAACAAGGATGAAGTAAACTTTGCTTGCAGTGATAAAAAAAAAAAAGGGAAGTGTTTATCAATAAACAGTGTGTTTCTTCACCTCCTTTTACAAATAACTAAATATTTTTATAACAATTTCATTAAATATAGTCTGTGGACCCCATATGACTTAAGATTGAAACCACAGTTGGGGGAAAAACTAAAGCAGATCATTGCACAAAAAATGGACAGTTGAAGGCACAAGAGCCAAAATATCTAAAATTTTGTAAAAATATTTGTGAAAGCCAATAATAAATCAAGCAGCCTGCCCCCCCCCCCCCATCCGACAACATTGAGAGTTTTGATAGTTTCTGAAAAACTAGTGTTGGTAGTAAATAGATATTGATATGTTGATGTACAAACCTATAGTAGGGATCCCCATCAGTTAGCTTTGTTCCTACAGGTGGAAGTCCATCCACATCAAGAGCACCTGTTGATTCACTTGGCTCACATGCTTGAGAGGACAGGATATTGTCAATTTATTTTTAACTAACACAGAGAGAGTAGACAACTAAAATGACAGCTCTTTTGTAAGAAAATTAATAACCAGAAGAGACAATCATGAGGCAGTGACACTGGCTTATTTTGTAATTGTATTTGGCTGTCAAAGGTTGTAGTAAAATTTTGTAATCACAAAGTTGTTGTTTTTTTGTAAAAAGGGTAATAAGGGAGAGAGACTGCAATCAGGTTACTAAAAGGGAAATAAGTGAAACAAAGTATGGTGAAAACCTGTTGCTTTTTTTTTTTTTCAGGTTTTTTGTTTCGCTCGCAAAAATGGTTATTCTCTTTTTAAGTTATAGCAAAGATTATAAAAATGTGAGAAAAAACTGATTAAAAAATATTTGAACTAAGATTATCTTATGCAACAAAAGTTTTTTTTTACTTCTTAAGATTTTTATCACAGGATATGTGTTAGTGGAAGTAACATTTAGATTTGTTGAAAAGTTTTAACCTAAAGAAAAAAAATGCAAATTAAATTGGATCAGAGCTAATTTATATTTTATAAAACTATTGAAGTAGTGAGATAAAAAATTATTTTTGAATACTCACAAAACACAAAAGTTCTAGTTCCATGTTCCCGACTGATTGATCTCAGATCAATTATCTAATAAAAAGGAAAACACATTTGGTTGGGTAAGTTAAGTGCCATACAATCCACATATAATAGAAAACTGTAAGTAATGTACTAAAATAGCTGTGAACAGAAATTTAATTTGACCTTCAAAGAAAAAAAATTTCTTGATAACTTGTAATCCAACAGAATTAGTTGAGACTTTATAAACAGCCTTTCATAATAAATGGAACTTTAGAATAGCCTATGCAGACCTTTTTACCCTCAAACTCTTAAAATCATACAATATCATCACAAAATTGTTCAATACACCATCTTAATAGTAAAAATAAAACATAAGGTATAATGTATACACCTGAAATCATACATTGTATGCCAAAATTGTAAAAGTAAACAGGTCTGCCTATGTTAGGTTAAGCAGTTCTTACTTCTGACTTTATGATGGATCCATGAGAAAAACCTCTCTCAAACGATGATTTGTTTAGGATCATAGCGTCTTCCATGTCGTAACCCTGTGTAATAGAAGACAATGTAAACAAAATTAAATGCATGCATAACTGGCTTACCACCATAGAATTGATGAGAAAATGACCTAGATTTATAACCCACCGTATAAGAGATAACAGCTACAACAGTGTTGGTGCCGAGCGGGTACTCATCAAAGTTGTATTGTTCATAAGCCGCTGGCCGGACCAGAGGGCTCTGTGGTGTCTGTATCCTGTAGAGTTTGTTATCGGCACGATGCTGGTAGGCATGCAGCGGTGTGCCCATGGTCTGCTTACCCATCTGAAAATAAAATACAAGGAACAAAGTTAAGAGTTTTATAGATCCCTTAAACCTCTGCTCCCAGAGTTTTGGTTTCTTTATTAATGATTGTGGAAGGTTTGGGAAGGGGTGGTGGTGGTGGTGGTTTATTTTGAAATTAATGTCTAGTGGAATGAAAATATAATGATTTATTTTTTCATTTGATTGTGCTCTAGCAGTGTATCCGTAATTTTTTTACGTTAAAAAACAATGGATGATATAAGTAGAACAGTCATTTAAAGACAAAGCTTTGCACAGATGATTTTTAGAACTGATAATAAAACTTTCAGGTAAATGAAATACTTCTTAACAATGTGCTTTGAAAAACATTCATAACTTTAAAAAATCAAATAATAATTTGTGACAACAATGTCAAGAAGTTTTGATATTTGCTGTTTCAATCAACATTTCATCATCAGCTGAATGTTAGTTATTGTCTCAACCAGAGATGAGTTTTCTAGTCACAATAATTTCTGAGAATGAATGATGTTTATAAAAGAGAAAGTGAGGCAGCATTGTCTACTTCTAATCTCAAAATAAACCTATTATGACCTAATATGTCTAAATCATGAAAATTTTCTCAAAAAATGAAAAAAAAAAAAAATAAATAAATACAAATTTCAACAATAAAAAAAAGTTGAATGAATGAACTAATAAAAGAGAAAGTGAGGAAGCATTTTCTACTTCTAAACTCAAAATAAACCTATTATAACCTAATATGTCTAAATCAAGAAAATTTTCTAAAAAAAAAAAAAAAAAAAAAAATAAATAAATACAAATTTCAACAATAAAAAAAAGTTGAATGAATGAACTCGACCTGACACTGGTACATATTCCTAGGACTTTGGTTGAAATCTGAGAATGGTGTCATGTTGGCTAAAACACTGAGCATACTCTGTTCATTCAATTCCTGATGAGTTGTAACCTGTTTTAGATAGAAAATTAAAACATGATTAATACAAGTGAATCTTTGGTCCCTGTATGAAATAGCCTGACAAAGTAGGTTGTATTTAAAAAAAACAGATTTTTTTGTACTGCATAGATTATTTAATTTATTTTCTCACACTGATCATCTATTGCTTTACAAGTCTTTAGATAAGATAGTTGATCATCTTTGGTTTATGAATACAATTTCAGACCTGTTTACCCTCATAAAATCGTACAGAATCGCCTCAAAGGTTTACAAAACAGTATCTTAAAGGTAAATAAATAACAATACAGTTTATGTAATGTATAACTACTCGCATCACGTGTCTAGTGGGATCAAGTAAAGCTGGGGTAAAAAAAAAGGTAACTTCTAAAAGTAGATGTCTGACTGGACAATCTGCGGTCACTTTGTTTTGCAGACGTGTATTTGCTATAGATATTAATTTATATTGAGGGAACATGCAGATCACCTTATCACTCTGTCACTGGTAAAAATAAAATTACAAGTGAAATTTAACATGGTTCAAAATCAAAGTCTGATCAGCATTAAATGAAATTTATTGAAATAAGAATTAATTAACAAATGATGACATCATTTAAAAAACCTACAAAGTAACTTGAGATTTAATTTTAGGAAAAGCTGGTTTAAAAAAAAAAAATCAATATCCATTAAACCTAATTCCGGCTAACATATTATAGTCTGCTAACTACCACAAGATGTACATGAGTGAAAGGATGATGAGTGTTGGAACCAGAACTTTCAGCTGGGGTATTAAAACTCGTAAAGCTGTTTTGTGCATTCTAAAAATTGATGTCAACGGCCCTCTCAGTCCTATAAATTATGTGGAAATCTAATGTTGCTGTGTGAAACAGTTGAGAATGCATTCTCTGTTTCTGCACTCTGAAAAGTTCACCCAACAAAATAATTACGTCACAAAATTACATCATACAGCACTGAAGAAAAAAAAAGCGAGGATTGAAAAAATTGTCACTAAGGCAACTACGCTAATGTTACTGTTGCCGTGTCTAGCGAGTTAATTATGAAAACTCATAAAGAAACAATATGACCATCACCAGTATTGTCTATCATTACAAAAATTTGGCAGTGTTAATTTAATAGACTTAACCGTCGAACTGTGGCGTGCATCATTCTGTAGTGTGGGAGCTTTTCAGAGCTTTTTGAGTGCCTTTTGAAATTGCATTAAATGAAATAGAAATATTGATACAAGATCCCAATAAGTTATATTTTTAGAAATTTAAATGGATGGGGATAAAGTTGGCTATATTGCCCAACCTTTAAAATTTGTTTGCTCAGTGTCCTTGACCTTGGAGTGCTCAAAGAAAAAAAAAATTGACAAAATTTCTTCCTTTCAAGTGCTCATAACATCATTAATTTTTTTAGGGACACTTAACACAAAACTAAATGTTGTAGCCAATTCATTTATCTTTCAGAAAATGTATAGTTTGCTAAGGTTTTGATTGCAATTAAACACCGGAAGGCAATTTTAGTAAGTTAGGTCATTTATATAAGAAACTGGGGACCACTGCTAAAACCAAGTACAAAATACAAAATTTCAGGCAAAATAGTTATTATTGACTAGAAACATTTAAAAAGGAACTGTGGAAATGATTTGGGTTAACTATAAAGTTTATTAGTTCTGATCTATAATCTGTAGCTTCTGTAACTAAAATTCAGTCAGTCCTTGCCCAACCTATGGGCCTCGCTCAAAGTCTAACAGTACTTAACAGTAGCCTCAGTAGGCCTACTTCAGAATCACTAAGACTAGTATAAGATTCACGAGAAGAACAATATCAATTGATATCATCATGGGGAATGTTAAATCATCATCAGTATCACTTAAATCCTCTCCTAAAACGCTTTAAAATTATTTATATTAGTTCTTGCACTGAAGGCCCAGCCATAGTTTCAACCATGTTAGCTTTAAAAAAAATAGCGTAATAAAACTCAGATTAAAAAGTACTTATTTTTAAGTTATCAAGAAACAGCTTGAACCAGAAGATGATTAAATTATAAATAAAAGGAAGTGGCTATAATTCGGGTTACATAGTGGATTGGAAGTAGCTATCAGACCGTGTTTTTAATCAGTAGATTTTTTCGGACGCCACAGCACGAATGAGAATATCGCCCGATTTCATCGGCCGGCCACAGTTCAAGGGTTAAATATTTAGACAACACCCCCCTCCCCCACCGTACACAAAATCTCCAAATTCAACATCCACCCCATTCCCCTCTCGGAGTAAAAATAATATAATTAAATTTGGTCTACAACCAATTATATATCTCAGTCCATTCACTGCTGGATGATGAAAGCAGGTTAAAATCATTAACAACTAAAAATGTACTTTTTAATTATTATTTTTCTAATCATAAAAGCTACCGGAAAGTATATTATTATATTTTCAACCTAGTTTCTAAAAATCGTAGTTGTGACTGGTCTGGGGCATACAATTGTAAAAGACAACTCAAAATCATACTTTTTACATCTAAATTGTAAGAGTGAACAGGTCTGCAATCTTTAGATATGAATAGTTGATCATCTATGGTTTATGAATACATTCTTTAGATATGAATAGAGAGAGATATCTTGATCAACTTCTTACCCCAGGATAAGCCTCATTCCCATTGACAGCAATGTCAAGGTAGACTTGTTCAAAAGTTCCAATCAATTCTGTGGCATTGGCATTGATGTTGAGGACAGGTCGTACCATTCTAGCAAATGATGAAAACAAATACAGCCCAGGATATTGGCTGGACACTTCAGTCTTCTTGACTAGGCAGATTTCAAGGGCAAATGGGACCTGGAAATATTTTTAAAAAAAAAAATGTCTACAATACTTTGTCTGCCTTTTATTCAAACATAAGTTAAACTTAAATAATGGATACACTCAAGAAAATATTGCTATATTAAATATAAAAAGCCATCATGTTATTTTAAATTTATATGCTTTCCTTTATTCTACATTACCAAAAATTAATTTAAACAAAACAGTCCACTTACCTCCCCTCTGCCCTTTACTTTGAGAACCCTCAATGTTCTAGTAAATGTGTCAGCAGACCATGCATTGATGTATCCCATAATCTTTCCATCAAAGAAGACCACGTAGCAATCTGACATTGGCCATGGATTGGGAGAGGAGATGGGGGACATGCCAAGTTCTGTTAGGATGGGTTCAAGTTTCCCTGGCTCAATTTCTGTGCTCACTATCTGTATTAAAAAAAAAAAGTTGCTTTGGTTAAAACGTTATGTAAGGTTTATCATCTTTCATCTATTTTAAAGTGAATGTGCAGCAAATAATAAACTCCTAGAAATAGGGCAATAAAAAATATAAAAAAATTATTGTTAAAAAATAAATAAAATTAACATTGCATTTTCAAAATAACCATAATGCAAATACTTGTTAAATAATTTTTAAAGGAGTATATTCCTGAAGGAATATAGATCTTTTACTTAATGTACATTAAAATGCTTTCATGCTCATATTGTAATAGACTGCAATTAAAAAGCAATCTTAATTATTTGTTTACAAAATCAAATTGTGACTCTATAACTAATTTATACCAGGTCATTTAAAGTGGACCTTTACACCTCCTTGATGGCATTCAGTTGTCTAGGGGTTGCTGGCAGACAAAAGTGGGGCAGTGGCAACACATAAAAAGGGCTATTTTAGATTGGGGTTACTTTTCTTTTTTAAAGGGGCATGGAGTTTCCTTTCTAAATCCAATGAAAAAAAATCACAAGCAATCAAAACTTACCTTGCATGAGGCTGAGAGATGATTTAGTAAACCACAAGGAGAACCATCAGGTGTGTGTACAGGGCACAAAAAGCCTGTTGATGATAAATAACGAGTTGAAGGTTTTTTTTAGATTCAGTTTACTTTTTCTTAGCCCAAGAAATAAAAAAAAAAATTCAAATCTTACCCCAAGCTTCGGGTAACAGTTTTCTGACTGCAGTGGTTCTCATTTCAGTGAAGAAAGACCCACGGTGCACTGCACGAAAATGAGAAACATAACGGAACATATTCAGTTTGTCTGCAATCACAGCAAAACCTCTTGTCTGTTGATAAAAAGAAGATGTAATTTATTTATTTCCTTAAGACAGAAAATGTTGCCTTTCACTAAAAACAATGAGACATTTCCGTTTTTTTTTTTTTTAAATTAAAAAAAAAGTAATCGTATTTTAACAAGGGAGAGATAACTCAAAGTGACATCAAATCCATAATTTGTTTAACGTTTTAGCTATTTGTGTACGAGCTTTATTCAAAGCTTGAAAATTAAACAAACAAAGAAGCTATTTGACTAACTAATAGTGAATGTCTGTCAGGTTTAATTAAACAATTATTCGTCAGAGTCTCATCACCTGCATGAGTCCAAGACCAGTCTGTGATATAAGATTCCCTGTTGATAACAGATACTCCATTGCACGGGTGATTGTTGACACAGTTTTAGTTGCATCTCTTATCTCCGCTGAGAATGGATTAGTAAAGTTAATTGCTGTGCAAGCTTGTAATTAAGGAAAAGACTCAATAACCTCCTTTCACCAAAACTAATTTTCAATCCAAGTTAGGTTTTTTAAAATTGAAGCCTCTATTTAAAAAAGCTCTCAAGTATAACAATTATTGTCTTTTTTACTTTGCCATGAATATATTAATGAGTTGTATTTAGTGGTATTCATTTGCATGTAGTGCAGTAATTTGATAGTTCAACAAATGTCTTGTAGTGATGAAAGTATAATGCATCCCCAATCATCAAGAGCAACACAATAACAAATCTGACCTGGATTGATTTGGAATGCTTGACCTCGTCTCCTCACTACCTTCAAAATGTTTGTTTTCATACCAATGAGATAAGATTCCAGTTTTTCCTATGAATAAAATTTATCATACAACTTATTATAAAATGTATCCACAGGTGCAAATTATATCAATCAATGCAATTTTCTGCATGAGTAACATCAAAGCACAACCTAGATAGAAGTCTCCAATTGAGCTTATTTTGAAAAAAAAAATTTTTTTTTAACATTTAAAATACTAATTTTTTCAGAACTTTCAGTTTTCTCAAAAATTATAACTGAAATTATCCTTTTCCAATTCAGCCCTCAAATAACTCAATCTTTTAGATGCAACCTCAGTCACTGTCTCTACATATTCAAATCTAATACCATTTTTAAAATTCTCCTGTGCGAAAACCAATAACAACCACCCCTTGTGAACTCTTAAACCCTCTGCAGACCATTCAGTATGATTCCAAAAGTTGTCAATTTATAGAAGGGTTGAGATGATTTAAATCAGAGCAATAAAAATCATTATTTAAATAAACATTTGATTCTAATTAATTTTTAAAAAAATATTCATCTAATCTATTTATATTTAAAGGCAGCACTTGCTAAAAAAGAACTTATGTTTATTTCCTAATATATAATTATGATTTCACAATTTTATAATAATAATTTTTAAAATTCAATTAAACGTTACAGTTTTAAGTTTTTAGAAAATAGAAACTGACTGGAAAATTAGTTTTTCTATTCAAATTATTTAGTCAAAGGCTTTGGTGGAATCAAATGACATCGACGAATGACAATATTATAATATTGACAATATTATAATATTGATAATATTTAGATTTCATAATTATTTTTATTAGAATATAATGAGAACTTTAAATTTGGTAAAAAGTATGAAAAACTTTTTAAATGGATTTAATTTAAATCTTTTTAATTTTTAAAAAATTATTTTGCTAAAATACTTAAATTTATAACAGTATGTTAAAATTCAATGTTAAATTAAAAAAAATTATATTAATAATATTAACTACACCAAGTTTAATCTTTATAAAAATTGATATACTTATAAATCTCAAGAAAACCTTTTTAAAAAAATAATAAAAACTATACAATTTTAAAAATCTAATTTAAATTAAAAAAAACCCACCACCATTTAAATAAAACATATCCAATTTAAATACTATTAACTATGTTATGTTTAAACTTTATACAAAATTAATAAATATAAATACATTAAAAAAAAAAGAGGTAAATAATCAAGTTAAATGTTAAAACTTTGATTTAGATCAAATAAATCTAATTTTAAAAAAATATAATAGTGATTTTTATCAACCCTGATTTACAGCCATCTAAAAAAAGAACATTCCTTTCTTAACAACTTACTGCCAACACCATTTGGATTAAGTGTCCTGGAACTAAAACTTCCTGGAACATAGGGTTATCACTGCTTTCAGCAGCACAATCTCCATTAACAAAGGCAAACAGCTTCTGTGTCATGTACCTGGCAACAAAGGAGATGTAAGGTCAAGCTTCATTTATGACAAAGTATTGAAACTTAACCGTACACTTGGTAAATGTTTTCAGCAGACAAAAAAAATCATATACTTCTACAGTACTTAAAGAGTAATATTAATAAGACTAAGACAAAATGAACAAATATGTGCAGAAGGCCCCACCATCCACAAACAAATTAGTAACTAGAGGAAAGGTGATGGTGGGAAAATTATGACATTTTAAATACAATAGTGGGTTAGATGTTAAGTGTAATAGTCACATTATTACGACTGAGTGTACTTCAATATAAATAATCATTATTTTTTTAAACATATATTTATATATAAAATAAAAAATACACTTATTTGCTGATAAAGCAATACTGTCAAAATGAACAACAAATTATTTATTAATGCAATAAGTAAATAAAAAAAAGCCCCAAAATGCTGGAGTAGATCCAAAATGTGCCTTTTAAAGCTATATGAAAGAGATACTTGCAAAAATGAATTAATATTAATTGATCTGAAATGCTCAGGCGTGTCACTAAAATAAATACCAGAAGGTTGACCATTTGAAGAAATTTATCGTAGAGCTTTGAAATGACTGTTTTTTCCCCCAGCTAATAATGTTTTTTTTAAAAATTGATTGTAATTTTATAAAAATCACATACAAATTTAGTATGATAAATAAGCCTACAAATTCTAGAATACTCATAACCCACAAAGATAAATGAAGACTGAAGAAAGCTTACACAAGGAAATTAAATTTATCAGCATCCTTGTCCAGATGGATGCAAAGACTGTTTTTAAATAAATATTTGCCAACTTGTTCATCTGTGTACCAATCTGGTAATGAGAGTTTAACACGGAACCTCTTGCCAATATAACTTAGAACTGAAGCCTGTGAGTTGAGACCCTCAGTCATAATCTGCCTCAACATAAACACCACACATCTGCAAAGCAGAAAAAATTCAAGACATGGTTAATAATGAATTTAATGGATTTTAATCAAATCTCAAAACTTCAAACAATATTTTATCCCTTCCACCTCTATTCCTATATGATATCACACATATATAAAATATAAAAGTTTTAAATTATAAACTAACCCGCGATAAAATGTATCATTTTCTCTTCCTCGCACAAGCTCATCAAAGATATACTTTTCAGACACCTCCAGGAGACCCTGTATTTGTGAACAAATGTAATGATTTGGTGTGGGATATGCAATAGAATAAAAAGACTATTGATCAGTCAAATGAATAGCTATTTAGGGATGTGCTGGTGCATCACATCAAAGAGATATACAAAGTTACCTTCAATATTAAAATAATGGGTACAAAAAACACTTCTTTTTGCACACCAAAAGACAGCTTGGCTGTTCCATTCTGAAGATAGTGTAGTGTCAAACTCTAAAGAAAAGAAGTAAAAATAGTGTTATAACCAGAGAGTGCAATAATTTTTTCACAGTTTTTACTCTGAAAGCTTTAAAAAGAACCATTAGTCTAATTCTTTATAAAAGTGCAAGCACTTACATTAGCCATTTGATCTTCCCGAACACAGCGGACGGTCACACCAAACTCTGTGTACTCAGGACCTCTCTTTTTCCATGAATGTCTGCACAGACAAAGTGGCTGTAGATGTATAGGAAAAAATGTTAAAAGACAGAAGGGGCAATGGTTAATTAACAAATAGTTCTCATTTTTTTGTATTGAAGTAAAAGTTAGAAATGATTAAATGTAAATTCAGTTTTCTTTTCCCATCTGGTGCAGGTTGGAACTGATAAAATTTCCTGACAGTCCTCTGTCTTCACCTAGTATTGTGATTATCAGAACTAGGTCAAAGCGACTTTTAAATATTGCAAACAAAAAAAAGGGTTCCAAGCCGTTAAAATTTCAGGAAGAAAAATTAAAAAATTTAGAAAGCCTTTCTTAATCATTTTTAAATTCTCTTTTTTCCATTTAATTTACTTATTCCAACAGGTAGACATGTCAACACATAAAAAGAAATGTGGACTTTGCTTACCTTTATTTAATAGAAAGATAGTACAAAGGGAAAAGTAAAACAAAAGATTGATCATTTTGATTTGAAAAGTAACATCACAGGTGTGTAGCACAAAGTACTAACATCAAGTCAACTTATAACATACATAATGAAAGCAATTGGTGCCTCCTTGAATACAGTGATTTATTGATAACATATTTTCAATTAATTGTCCTTGGTCTAAAAAAAAATACTTCTAAAGATGCAACTTACATAATTCCTTCTTGGCTGGATAAGGAGACGGATAACTTTTTCATTTCCATTGACTATAAAATAACCCCCCATTTCCTGAAAAAAATAAATAAAAATTTATGTTTAAAATTTAACAGGCACACTCTAATAAAATCAACAATTTGAATTATCAATAATATAAATCCAATAACAGATACATTAAAACCCCTTAAAAACTTCAGAGTATGTTACAGTTTGACAAACCTCTGGCTCCTCTCCATGGCGAACAAGTTCCTTAGGATTTAAGTTAGCAATGTTACAGGCGTCAGACTAAAACAAATAAAAATAAGAATTAAGAAGAGGAAAGGAAACAATACGTTTTTAAACTGTGCAACATATTTCCAAATGGAAACAAAATAAACATGAGGTTAGTTTATTATATAAGAATAATGGCTTTTTTTTAAATTGGAGAGGGGGGGGGGGTGGGAAGGAGATAGAAACTGCAATCGGGTTAGGTAAAAGGAAATATGTGAAGCAAGTTATGGAAAACCTGTAAAAAGGATGTAACAAAACAAGTAGCTTTCTTCTGTGAACAAAAAACACGTAACAAAAATATAAAATTTAAAATAAACACTTAGCTAAAATCTGGTGTCCAAAAAGGACAGAAGGAGGAATTTAAAAGACCATAATTAGGTAAGAGAGTGTAATATAGGCAATAGAGGAAAAGAAAATCTGTGGTTATGGTTACAGGTTATAGAAAGGAGGGGGGAGGAGAAAAGATTTTAACAAGTGAAGGAGAACATGACATTCATGCCATGTGGTGTCAAGGTCTCATAAGTATGTACCAGTTTGTTCTCTAAGTTCACCCTGGGGAGCGTGTCAGTACAGGAAACAATGGCAATGATGGATAATTCACTGGAGCCCTTGTGTGAAGTGAATTTTTTTGAGACAGGACACTGTTTATCTTGTGCAATATTTCCAAGGTATTCAGTACATCTGTACAAGAGACATCGTCAAGTCACACCAAGATAAGCCATATGCCAGCTGTTACAAAAAATGGCATAGATAACATTGCGACTGGTGCAGAAAACTACCCTTTGTCTTGCTTGATTCCAAATAAGGAAAAGGTAGCACGTAGGTGGCTATGAACAAGGAGATCTTGTAGATTCTTACCTTTTCTGAACAAAATGAAAACAGGGCTGAGAAAATGTCTTTTTTAAAGTTTTAAATAAGTATAATTTCTTTTTCATTGTCACAGATCCATGTTCACACTAAAACGAACTTTTTGAGGCTATGCTAAGTACTACTTAAATACAAGCACTAGAAAAAAACCAAAAAAACTAATTCTTAAGCTAATTCACCTTGACCATGATCGGAATCTGTCCCACTGTTTTTTCAAAGTTACCAGTCTTGCCATTGCTGCACTCGAAGGAAATGTGGGCCAGAACATTACCAACATAAGTGGATCTTCTCTCACGACACTGAAAACACAATAAGTGATGGATAAAATAAGATTATAGGCATAAATCAACATTCCATTGTTCTAAAAAACTAACAAGATTAACAGTTCATAAATAGCTTTATTAAATTTATCTTACCTCAGCAGGATAAACTTTATTCGTGACAGCTACTTTATTTGTAGGGGGCACAATGGGGGGAAAAATTAATACTTTCTGAGAAATAAAAAACAAAAAAATTAAAACAAAAATCAAAGGAAGAACTTGATAACTTATTATAACTTTTATTTCAGATAATTTTATGCAGCTGAACATGAACACAGAAGAGAAAAAAAATTCAAACTTTTATAAATTATTTCAAAATAAACATAAATAAATTATAGCACATTACAGATTATAAGACATTGACATTTTAAAAAATAATAAAAATAATAAAAAAACGAACAAAAAAAGAATAACGTGTAAAAATATTTACATAAAACATAAATTTTTAACTAAATGATCAGATATACGTACAGTAATGCGTAGTGATAGTTGAAGTCTGTTAGGTCCCATATCTTCATCTCCAAGATAAAATTCTATGGGATTCATGTGCTGTTTGATGAAATTGTTAACATATAGAAGTTACATTAGTTTGATAAATTCATAACATTTTGCTAAACTACTATCTTTCAATAACAATTGTCACATTGATTTTAACAATTAGTATAATATAAAACAATCTTAAAAAACCTTAATTATAAATAATTTATAAACAAAAATGAATTTAATGTAAATTTTAAACAAATTATATAAATTGGACCGTTACATTACAATATTAAGTAGGTATCATATTAATTATAGCCATTTAAAGTTCATCTTAAGATACCTCATATAAATTTGCTGATCTATCTTTATGTGAAAACTGATGGGGCTTAAAGTATTATTTATGTTTTATTGAAATAACAACATAATATCAAACTGATTTTTCCCCCAGAGATTTGCATAATAATTACACTTTATATTTATTAATTGACAAAGAGACTACATGTGCAAATATATTAATTGATTAAGGTGACTGAATGTAGCAACTTTAGAAATTTTATATAGATTTGCCTCAAAAACTTTGTATTAGTGAGAGCTATTTATCCATCACAGTGCTAATCATACCTGTTAATTTCAGTCTATGATACAGACTCAATGACACTTTGAGAACATGAAAATATGGCTTGAAATCACACATATTTGACTATAAAAGAGGTTGTTTTAAAATCAATTTTTTGCAATTAAAATTACCTTGGCCATTTTGTCCACCCCTTCTTTCAGGAAGTAATTGAAAGACTCTACATGAGCCTTGGTGATTTCCTGCAACTTCTGAAACCAAGAATATTTAAGTTCAGTGATGCTAAAAATAATAATGAACAGTACAGTTAAATTAAGGAATATCCTTCTATCTTTAACTCCAAGACACTAGATACAATTTTGTGAGATCAGCTAATAGGATATCTGTTTACTTTAAAATAAAAGCATCTTTTACATTTGTTAGATTCATAGTTTCAGTGAGGTTATTACTTAAAATAAACAGATAAGAAATGGTTATTCTAGGCAAGGCAACAAGACTTTTTTTGTTCTTTTTTTTTTAAATTTAAGACTTTTACCCTTTGTTCTAATTTTCAAGCTTGTTTGAGAATGGATTGGGGTGATGAGAGATCTAGTCTAGTCAAATTAATTACTCTACAGAATGCATTACTTTGGAACCAGCTTTCATTCAACACATTTGTGATTGCCTCAAGTTTCTGAACCATGACTGACAGACAATGCTGCAATTTTCTCCAGATGAACATCAAAGGCTGTTCATCTTAGCCTTTTTTTACAAGCTTTTCTTTCACTTTTTTAAGAAGCTTTTCTTTTAGCAAGGTTTCCATTTCACATGTTGTATTTAAAACTTTTTTGACAACAAGTTTCCAGAATGATTTTCATCCCACTGTAAATTGATAGCCTGCTTTCATATTCATACTTGCACAAGTCCTTATAGAGAAGAAGTATGTTTAATCGTCTCTGTCCGTTAATACAATACATAAATTCCTTGTTATCGTGACCATTCTTTGACATGGCTGAGGCTTAAAATTATGCATCTCACATTGATAGTGAAGAAAATGTTGCACTTGATGCCTTTCTCCTGTTTCTGATGTGCATATTGTGACACAACCATTTCAAGTCATGACTGACTGACTTACAGGGATGCATTCAGCAGGCATGTCTAGTATATGTGCAGTTTAATATTTTTTTTTATCTTTAATTTTGAGGTTCCAGATTCTCTTGTAAGTCTTGTTCAATTTTGGCTAGAGATGCTGGTGTTTTGCGTTTTGTGATACTAATTTACCACCACATCAACGGAGAGTAGACAGGATTAGGAGATGGTTGACAATGAATAATAATAACAGGAATTATAATTTCTCAAAAACGTCCAGGTTTCACCTCTTCTAGCCTCTATAAAGATGGAAACCAGTTCAGTATGCTGATACTATGCTGCTTGCGGGAGGGGAGGGGGTGTAGATATGTTTAATATTGTTTAAAACATCTCAAGGTGGATGAAAATGAAGAAAAAAAAAGGAGCAATTCTTGAACTTTAAACTGAATCTCTAGAAAAGAGATATAAAATAATTACCGCGTGTTGTTTTTCATTTGGCTTGCCAAAAGTAGGCGATGTCAGATGCTTGGATCCCAACATTGTGACTATGGAAAATTATTATATTTTGTGATTTTTTTTTCAAGACAATTTTGGGTTACCCAATTTTGTACTATCGAATTCGATCCTATGCTTCGCCGACTGGACTGAGAATGAACAATCTAATTCAGTAGGGGAAAAATTTAAAAAACCTGAATTTATAACTTTGTGTTAAAAAATAGTCGTCAAAAATGAATGATAGCATTTTGATTTATTTTATCTGAATATCATTCATCATTTAAAAGCATCTACACACACGACCCTCTCATGCCATGTGAGCGGAGTATTTTTGTTATTATTTTATCTAGCAGTTTAATATTTTTCCAGGTGGGCAAACTATTTGTAATTCATAGATTAAATTATGTTAGTTTGTTAATTTATTTGTAAAACAGTGTGCCTCAATGAACCATTTATCCAATAAGGTACCTCCAATAATATTAAATATCTTTTTTGTTTTATTGAAAGCAAAGGAAAAGCATTTAAAAAGTAAATTGTCAGTTGTTATAGACAACCTGGTATCTTTTATAGTTTTAAAAAAGTGAAAAGGATAATCAGGATTGGATAATTTTAGAGTAATGGATTTTCCCGATTCATAGTAACTAAACTCAGACAGACGTGTACTTATGACTCAGCTTCCGCTTTGTTGGCCAATCCTAATCATTATAGAGAACTTCCGATTAACAAGTAAACACTGGAAGAAGTCATTTGGGTTTTTTTGTTGCATGTTCTGAATTAACAAAGTTGTATATTAATTTTAGTTTAGATCAATGCAAAAAAAGTCAAGTCTTACAAATCTCAAGCATGATCCGACGTAGTAGGGTCTGTTGGTTTACAAAAATTGTTAAAGTTCTAGCTTCTGCAGCAGCATTTCTTTCATGGACAGGAGATGTAATTGTCAAAAAAGGAGCAGATGGAGCAGTCAGCAACCTTAAGGTGTCTTCCCCATATCAAGAGAAGTACCAAATCCAACAAAATCCCACTCAGCTGCCAACCGTCAAACAAGTGAAACTTGTGGATGGAGAATCATGTCCTTTTGAGACCAGTAAAAATGTGGAATCCTCATGTGACATGTTTGTACTAATATTAAAATTTGGCTACTACACTACACTGCTGAAGTACACTAATAAATAGTACTAGTACTAAGTTACTAAGTAATAGACACTATTTAATAGTAATAGCTACTACTTCAATGACAATCTCTATTCATTCCTTTAACCCAGGGGCTCCTAGCCCTTTTAAGTTGCAGTGCCCTTTTTAGAATAATTCTTATTCTTTAGCCTTTACTTTACATTACATTTTAGGCTCACCCGCCCACCCTATTATTACCTTACGATTCCTAAAGTCTTAAGTGGAAGCAGAGTCACAGAGAAGTGTAACTAGTAACTGCTAATTAACTTGTACTTACTATAAGTATAATTTGAATGCATAGAGTCTCGACAAATAAGTGTGTTAATAAATTATTGATCCATACATAGGCCTTGGATGCTTATGTCTATATACCGGATATTTCCATAAATAGGCCCACCCAAGCATAAGCCCATGGGCCTGTATACGGAAAGTCTTTCCGTATACAGGCCCATGGGCTTATATTAGGTTAAAAAATTATTAAACCCACATACCGAAACTTCTGATGAATCGTCACTGTCATTAAGTATTATAAAAATAAATTTTAATGTTTTTTTTTATTGTTGCTAAACATAAAACTTCAAACGATAAACGTAAAACCACAATTGTATTATTTTCGGAATATTTTATAGGAAATTATTTCCTGGAAGAAATTGTTTTTTGACCCCACACATGCATTTCCGTTTCCATTTATGATTCGATAAGCGTTCTTTAAAACATGCCTCCAAAAAGAAAATTCTACACAATCGACAATAAATTGGATATCATTAAGAAATTAGAGAATGAATGTGGAGGGAATATTTGTCTAGCATCTATAAAGACTGGTATAGATAGGAAGCGAATAAGAGAGTGGTTAAAACAAAAAAAATGATTTGTGCCAGGGAAAATATAAGAAAAGAAAAAGACAGATTGCAGGTGGAAGGCCAGCCTTCCATGAAAGGTTAGAACATGATTTGTTTGACTGGTTTGTAAAAGATAGGGAGCAAAAGAAAATTATCAACTATAAGGATATGAGAGAGAAGGCACTTGCATTGAAAGAAGAATTTGAAGTCGGCGATGATGTTAAATGCTCTGATAAATGGATCTATAATTTTTGTCAGAGGCATAAATTAAGTTCACGAAGAATAACTCATCATGGCCAACAAGATGACAGAGATAAAATGGTGATTAAAAGGATAGTGAAAAATTACATGGAATGTGTGCATGCAGCAACTCTCGGACTTACCAATGATGACATTTTCAACATGGACGAGACCCCATGCTATGTTGACATGATTGGTTGTTCAACGTTGCATTTTGTTGGTGACAAAAATGTAGACGGCATGAAAAGACAAGGTATACAGTGGTTTTATGCATAAGTGCTTCTGGTCGGGTTATCAAGGCCATAGTAATACTGAAAGGATTTTAAAATGTACCGAATTGTGACATTCCGTAAAATATTTTTTTGACAGTGTCAAAGGGAGGCTCCATGACAGAGGATCTAATGATTGAATGGCTAGAAAATGTCTACAAAAGAAGAGGGCCTTATTTTGCAACAAGAAAATCGTTGTTGATTATGGGCAGTCACAGATCCCACACAAGTGAAGCTGTTCTTGCAGCATGTACACACGTAAATGCAACTGTCAAACTTATTCCTGCCAAAATAACATAATTCCTACAGCCCTTAGATGTTGGTGTTAATTTCCCATTTAAGGCTATTTTAAAGCAGAAATGGAAAGATTGGTTTGAAAATGGAGTGAAGGAATATACACTAGGTGGATACAGGAAAAAAACATTTTATGAACAATTACTTCAAATGGTGTCAGAAAGCGTAAAAATGATCTCGCATACGAAAATCATTTAGTGCATGTGGGGTAATTCGTGATGATGACAAGCATCTCAACCAGCGATTGAAAGCTGTAATCAGTTTTGAAGCTGAAGAAGGTATCAGTCATGCACATGAACAGAACGATGATAAAGAAGAGTCTGATGACCCTTTTGAAGATCTTACAGATAATGACTCTAAAAAAAAAGATTTTGTACTTTTTCAATATTTTCAAACAGCAAAGTTTTAAAGTAAATTATCTTAGGTGTGTTATCTGTATTTTTATTTATCCGTATTTACCAGTATTTCTTTTCTCAAGAAGAGTGTTGGATGAATGATTACATTTAAATCCATGGGTAATTTGATTTATATGAAGAAAAACAATCTTTAAAAAATGATCCTTTCACTTTAACTTACAACTGGTCTTTATTACAAAATAAAATAACGTTTAAAAAATTTTATAACATATTTTCAACTGAGAAAAGATTTTGGCTAAATAACAGAAAAAAATATACAAAGAAATTACATGCGAGTGTCTCAGGTAATAAGTAGTTTAACTGATTTGTATTTTCCATATAAACGTCCATGGGCCTTTATTTGGTACAAAAACCTCAATCATGTAACATCAACTTTCCGTTTTAAAGCCCAGGGCTTATTTATGGAAATCTCCGGTAGTATATACTAACAGTAGGCCTATATTTTAGAGTTATCTAAAAGTAAACAGATCACTACATTTCCCATAGTATTCCATGTCTGTGGATCAGGTCTGGTAATAATACCAAGGCCTTTTTAAATGTTTCTTACCTCAAGCCTAGGGAGAAAGGGTGGACACAACTCTCTATCATTTGAGAGTAATTACTGAAAGTGAGATTATCAATAATTAAATCTAAATAATTCCTAATCTTACTCTTTCATCTGCCTTATATTACAACTAGCATAAACATAAATTATTGCTACATTACTTCAGTACGGTTGCTAAGTGAAAGTGAACACAAACACTAAGTGCCCAGTGCTAGTTTTGATGTAAAGAATGCTAATTACTTCTTACTTTCAGTGTTTATTTTGCTGTGAATCTAATTAATGCAGAATAAAGTGGCACTATTTCTTCTCTGAACTCCAAGTAATTGGACACTTTCTTTTATTCTGATGGTCCACATACAGTATCTTTTTTTGTGGACCATCATTTAAATTTAAGGTTGTCATGTACAGACTTAAACTTCTGTAAATGTTGCACTTTCCATATTGAGGTATCTATTTTCTTTTCTCACCTTCCTTCCCTACTCTGCCCAAAGTCAAAGTCAGAACCTTTAATTACACACTAATGGATATGTTCAGTAACACAACAGACTTTGCTTCTAATAGTTATGTATCCTTATCTAGGCTAGCTTATAAGCCATTATTTTGGACAGGAGATATTTTATTTAAACATTGGTTCGAGGAAAAATAGAAGGCTTATAGTTTTTATAATCTTTAAATTCCTTTTAAAAATAAATGACAACTTAAGTAATTATTTTTTTCCTCCAGATTTTATGTTCTTGTAAGTACAATTGATGGAAGATTTTCTGCACTAGACTTGCACAAACAGGGAAAACTAGCCTGGTCAGTTGAAGCTGATACTAGACCTTTGTACTCTTCCAGTTTAGCGAACATGGAGGTTAGTCTTTTGATTACTAAAGAGAGTTTAAATTAAAATTTGCTGTGATAAATTGATTGGAGATCAAAACAGTTATGAGAGTATCTTTAAAAAAAAAAACTGTGCACATAATTGTTTCATTCTGAAATCATCTAATATATATTTGTGATACAACACCTCATTTCTTTGCCTATCATGCATCCTTTGAATACTTGTCTCTTTGTTTCCCAAGATCACTGTACCAGTATATAGATAAATTAGAATATATCTATATATGCTCCATTTCTGATAAATAAGTGAACAATTTAACAGAACTGGAGCATTTTAAAAATTTTAATTTACATGGTCCATTTAATTTTTGTTTTATTTTGAAATAAAAACAAATAAATTCAAACCAAATTACGCAAATTAAAATATTTTTATTTAAATTTAAAACATTAAAATAACTGATAAATGTAGTCTTTATTTATGAGAGAGGTTATTCATAGATTTATGTATGAGTGAGATTATTCAAGCTTATGGTCATCAAGGGATGTTTATTACTTCCACAGATGATTAGAAATGGCAAAAAATTCAGGCTGATACCATCCCTGGATGGGGCACTATATCAGTTTGATGGAGAGAAAGTTGAGGCTATTCCAATGTCAGCTGAAAGCCTTCTCTCATCTACCTATCGTCTAAGTGATGACTCTATGATAGTTGGGAGCAAGGAGTTACAGAACTTTGGACTTGATCTTCAGTCAGG